ATCTTTCGAATTTATCACATTTCATTGTTACTTTTGCCCGTTTGATGTATACATCTGAAACCTACTGTCTTAACTAAGAGATATTGAGGTATATTTATTCGATATTTTCTCGAATCGGCTCCGCCATTAGGCCATGCGCTTACAGTGCCATCAAGAATAGAGAGATCGGGCAAACAGGAATAGCCTAGATCTGTACATGCAAGCACGGTCTTAATGTGTGAGCGCTAGCGAATTAACAGCAAAATGCTTGTTAAACAAGTGATCTAAATTAAAAATTTAAAAAAACCGACTTCAAAAACGTGTAGATGCCGTCACCACATCTTATCCAAATTTATATGTGGCCACACCTGAGGTACCCCCTTACTAACAAAAAAAGAATCATATAAATACCCACATAGCACACGGACGTCTTATGGACGTCTAAAAGACGTCCTTTAGGGACATAAAGGACGTCCGAGGGACGTCCTATTTTGGTACCGGGACGTCAATCGGACGTCCTAATGTCCCGTTTCTGTCCATCTTAGGGACGTCCCTGGGACATCCCAAAAGGACGTCATAGGGACCTTTTGCGGGACGTCCTAGGGACGTAAATCAGACGTCCGAGGGACGATATTTGACCATAATCCATAAAGGGTAATAATAACAAAAATGTTAACAATAAAAGAGCTTTATTTAACAACTTTTATCCTAAAAAACCTAGCTAGAGTTAAACGTTTTCAGTTTACAAAAAAAAAAACAGGAATGAATTAAATTTAACACGCAGCGCTGGCAAGATGAAACCTTGGGTCCTACTTATAGCTTGTGTCGACAAAACTGAGTATTATAATTTTGTCCAAATTAGTTTTGTTCCAACTTTCCGCCATTAAGGTATTTTCTTTCCGCCAGCGGCTACCGACAATACACATCACTTATTCTCACATCAACACAAAACACTCACTTCACTTTATAACCACTTTACCACCAGCATCAAAAAAATAACAAATAACACTATATAACCTTCTTTTTTCTTCGTTAATCTAACTCACTTATTTAAGTTAATTATTGAATGCCGAAAATTGTAGCTATTGTTGTTCATTTGAAAATAAATGATAGGTTAGGTTTTCTGTCCTCATACTCTTGCAAAATCAAAACGTTGAATTTCAAGTTATCGATTCAAAGACCAACGATGCTAGTGCATAGAAAGTCCCATAGACGTCCCTTGGACGTCCCATTAACGTCCCGGACTCGGACCGAAAACTAAACGCTTTGTCGAAACGGGACCAAAATAGGACGTCCAGAGGACGTCCTTCTAAGGACGTCCAAGTGTTAACTGTAATCGGAAGTCCAGTGGACGTCCTATTTAGGTCCGGGACCAACCGGACCAACAAGGGACCAAATCAGGACGTCCATGGGACGTCCTGTGCTATCTGGGTAGGACAAGGTGGTAAAGCATTATCGTTAAACTTACATGAAAAAAAAAAATATCGCGACGAATTGATAACCTCCTCCTTTTTTGAAGTCGGTTAAAAATTCATCCAAAATGAGTGTTCTTGAAGAAATTATTGCTATGGTGATCGGTAAATTTTTTTACCGGGCTAGCCCGTTATGACTCCCTTAATAACTATAACCAGAGATTGGTTACCACGGTTTAACAGGTTAGTGTATTATAACAATTTACGTTACAGGACCTGAAAGTAGTGTTTTGCAGGTTGAGACAAGCCCTGGAAGCTTGGAGAGACCTTGTAAACATTAATTTTCAGTCGCGTGACGTGCAATATTTTTTTTTAAACCGCCACTTATTTATTTTATATAATAAAGTGATTAACAAATACTAAAACTAGATAATGGATACAACTGCACAAACTGACCAAATACATAATTTTTGAAAATTTATGTTAGAATTGATCTGAAGGGAAAATGCTGGACAATGTTAAATTTGTAGTGGCACCAATAAAGTTAATTTCTGCATATTGTTTTGGAATATTCCGCTTGGATTTTGTTTGCTATATCAACTTTGTTTTTTATTGAATTTTCAAGGTAGCCTTCCGCTACGGTGGAGAATTTCCATCTACCATGCCGTTTTATAGTAGTTTACGTTCTAGATCTTTACATGCGAGCAGTCGTTAATGTGCGAGTGCCAGCGAGCACGTTATATGGCCGTGCGAGCACGTAGAGATCAGATAACGAGCCTGCATCGTACAACGTTTTATAATATACTGCAATTTACTACGTTTTACAACCTAAAATCAAATAAAATTTTATTTGACACCATCATTAAAAGTTTCCAAATGTGACTTAAAATAATGACAGTTGAGTTACAACTAAGAATTCAGACACAACTGTTGTTAAAATTTTTACCGGGCTAGCCCGTTATGACTCCCTTAACTATAAACAGAGGTTGGTTACCACGGTATAACGTAGTATATCATAAAATTTATAATATCGCCCCCTCTATCTACTAGTACAGTCGCTGAGCTTCGACGATAGCAATGACCTGTGAATTTGCCTAGATTTTTTAATTTAAAATAGAAGGTGATTTTGCTAAGGACTTTTCTCACAGAACGCAATCTTACTACTTGGCTTGAACGCTTCCAATAAAAAAAAATAAAGTAAATAGCCGTTTATGTTGGCCTCAATTCCAAATAATTCCTATGTAGTTGCAAATCTCTTTGGGAATAAACATTCTGGTGGTATTCGTTTTAGTTATGGGGATTTTAACTGTCAACATTTTTCCTTATCCTCGATATCATTAGTGTCATACTTAACAGTTCCTCGCGGCGACATGCACCTGTGGGACCCATAATTAAAAGCATCTAAAATAGAATTAAGATTTGTTGTAACCAGTTTTTACTTCGTTTCTTTGATTTTAACTTACCTTAACCATAAAATATTCGATATCGGGAGCAATGTTCAGAAACGTTTTAATTTGTTCTCTTGAAAGAATCTTGGATTTTTTCGGTTTATGATCAACAGACTTCTTTTAAATAAACGTTATTAGTTTAAATAAAAATAATTAAAGTTTCTGTATCTGTAACGTGTGGAGGGTGGGTTAGGGGTTAGCCCACGGTACTTAGGCCTCACTAGACCATTGTGCTTCTCTTATATTGGCCGGTGTTAGCTAATTCTCGCAAAACACAAATCTTCTAAAAAATGAGAGCGTCGGGTAATCGTATAGGATATGCTCGATGGTCTTATATTCTTGTTCGCACCCTCTGTAGAATGCGGATTCTGACATCCCCATGATATGGAGATGCTTCCGAACTTGGCAATAACCAGTCAGAATGCCTGCGATCAGGCACAGATTCTGTCTAGTCAAAGTCATAGTCCAAGATAAATTAGAAGCTCTCTGGCAAGTTTGCAGCTTCTTGTTTCATCCCATCTTTCCTTGAATTTCACAAGGGAATGCTCTTTATTAGGTTTGTCACTACCGATATTGTCAGTCCAATAGAAGGACCAGGTCCAAAAAGTATTTGGTTAGCTGCCTTTAGTTACCTTTCGATGTGACGTGAACTTTGATACATCTTATGTTGACAACACTGTTGATGGATACTTCGAAAGCGTCGTGATATTCTAGTACTAACCCTGAGTAAATTCGTGATCTGTTCAGGGTGAGTAGTACTTGTCTGCTATCTGTATAGATGTCCATGTTCGTTCCAGTAATTTTTGGTGATTTCTTTTGCTGCTATGAGAATCCACACGAGATCGGTTTGAACTACACTGGCACTACTGTTAAGTCAATTTTATGTTTAGGTTTAAGGATCTGGAGTATATTCCACATCCTGAGCCTTGTTTTGTTTTAGAACCGTCGTCGATGTAGATATGAATCGTACCTGTCACTTCCAGCTCTTCTATTTGTTCTATTATATGGCTTATATACCTGTGAGATGGGAGTCAATGTTCGGTTGAAGCAGTGGGAGCGTATCAAGCGACGTCTTTCCTCACCAGATCCTATATCAGGTTCTATTCCAACCGAGCAGAGGCGTGTCATTGCCATCAGAGCAGCCTCCTTCATGTAAATAACAAGGGCAGTGAGACTAAGAATTACTTCCATGGCTCTGGTCGGTGTGGTTTTCATGGCTCCTATTATGTTGAGACATGCTGTTCTTCGAATTTGATCTAGTTTGCGGACAGGTGTCATTTTTGAATTATTGTTTACATTATTTTTTAAGGCCAGCATAGATTTTAGCTTTGAATATAGGCTTCATAATGTTTAAGAAGACAGTTTTTGGGATTTTTCAGCAAAATATGCCAACTTTTTCACAGACACCAATTTTTAAATGCGTCGTATGACTTCTCCTACCGGGCTTATGATTTTACTGGCAATATATCGTTAGTCGCCTTCTTTGCTGCTTCCAAAATTTCTTCCGGAATTTAATTTTCTGTCGGACAATGCAAAATCTGTTCCATATTTTCAAATTTGCGATCTCATAAAACAAGTTTGATATAAACAACAAATTAAATATCAACAAACTGTCACATGAAGAAAACAGTGACCAGAAAGCCTTTTTCTATAATCACTATACAAAGTAGGCCTTTATGCTTCGAAATCCAACCGCAAAGTTGACGTTTTTCGTGAGCGACAAAGTTGACAGCTCTATTGCTCGCCTTAGTTAAATTAGGTATATTTATTTTTAATAAATAATTTTCAAGTAATTTTAATTGGTGTGCAACAAGTACACTGCTCTAATCCCTCATAGAGCAGCGCGACCAGACCAGAATTAAATAGCGCCTTATCGAAATGGCTTCTATTAAAAGAGCTCCTTTCAAAATAGCGGTCCAGCGAACTAGGACCTGTGCGCCTTGGAGCCGTCGCGGGATGATTAAAAAAAAATGCATAAAATTAAAAAAAAAACTTCAATTAATTTATCTAACCTATGCGGCCTGGACCTACTTTAATTTAACCGATTACAGTTTACACAGATCATATTTTCAAATTGCATTTTCAGCTTTCGGATCTAAACCGATTTTCTCACTTTCTTTGTAATATATTTATTATATCAAAATTTATTTTTTATTTTCAGATTACCAGAATGCCCGGTTTACCTACAAGACCTGCGATTTATGATATAGATTTAAATATCGAGACTGGAGAAATTGAAGGTCTATTTTAAAAACGCTAAGATCTGAATGAATACTTATTATGTAAGAATATAAAATAAATGGTTATATTTTTTGTATTTATTTTATTTTTAAACTATTAATAATAACAACTTAAACAATTTTAACAGCTGCACGAAGTTTTGCTGATCTGCTTCGAGGATTATCTTCAACTTCCTCATATTTAGGAAGCAAAACATGCTGATGTAACATTTTCCATTTTGGTTTCATAATTTTTTCTACTAGATTGTGATCTACAGTGGTAGCATAATTATTATATTTAAGTGGCAATGGATTTGCAGTACTTCCTAATAAATTGCCAGTTAAATGTCTTTTAGCAATAGTGTCTTCAAGAGAATGAAAAGATATTGAAACAATGCGACCTCCTATTTTAAGGTAATAATGTGCTAGAACAAAAGCATAATTAATTTCATTTAGTTCATTATTAACGAAAATACGGAGCGCTTGAAACGTTTTTGTAGCAACATGGCTTCTACGTTGCAATTTATCTAATCTAAATTCCTCGGTACAAACAGACTGAACAAGGTCGGCTAATTCTTCGGTAGTCGTCAAAGGTTTGAACATATACCTGGCTTCAATAATAGCTCTAGAAATTTTACGTGCTTGTTTTTCTTCTCCATATATTTTAATTATTTTGTATAAGTCTTCCTCTGTAGCTCTAGCAAGTACATCTGCCGCAGTGGGGGCATCTAAATTAAAATGACTATAATTAGGCTTTATAGTAAATAAACTACTTTAGTTATATATCTGATTTTAATGACAAGATTTTATAAAAATTGTTTTTAAAATTAATGTAAAAAGTGGTTTTTGACCATAAATTTAATCATCGATACCAAAATGAGCACTTCAGTTGTGGCTGTTCAGCATTAGAAATACCCATAATACAAATTAAAAGTAGTTTGGCAATTTCGCTATATCTTCATAGCTGAAGTCCGATATGAGTTGTGATAAATAATTTGATTCAAATAATGTTAAAAACAGCACATATTAAAAAGCAACGATATACATGTAAAATGACAGATTTAAGATTACTTTATCAAGCAATGATATCGACAAGAAAATGTGGGGCAAAAACTTCGAGCATATATTATTAGAGCCATCGTCCAGTGTCCAGCATTCCCATTGGTCTGCTTCGTTTTACTTGGCATGTCAAATGTGTCATAAATCGATCGAAATTGTTAGAAGTGTCATTTGGTTTTTCATTTTCATTAATTTTTAGCTTATTTTTGTAGTTTATAAGTGATTTTTCGTTAAACATGAATTTAAAATAAATGGTTAATTTAGTGAATTAAATTTAGGGAACTTGTATTATGTATGAGGAAGGTGGGCCTGTTTCTATCAAGGGCGGCTCCAGGGGGGGAGGAGGGGGCATGGGAGCCATGGCCCCCCGAGGTGAAAATTCTTACGATTTATGGGCCTTTTATTAAAAAAATGTGCTAAAAAGGGAATGGCTAAAGGCAATGCCCTCCATCCCCGAAAATTGGTCTTGGATCCGCCCTTGGTTCCTACTAGGCAGACAATTTATAATATTGTCAACAATCTGGCTGTTTACAAGAGTGTTCAAAATGTCAGCCAAAACATGTGTCCCCAAAATAACAATTTTTTGGTGACCGGTTTCAGCTGTATAGCTAGTTTCAAGCATGTAAGTAACAAATTTTTTTGTTAAAATTAGATGTTTATATACTAATTAAGGAATTATTGGGGTTATACACTGCACTATAATTGTTAGAATGTTATATTTATTATACTATGTTGTATAGAGTGTATAGATGTTTTTGTTGTCATATTTGGACTGCATTATACATAACATGACCAAGCGCCATTTTAAAGAATTGAGAAAAAGGACTAAAAGTTTTAAGCTTTCTAAAAAAGAAACCATTCATCAGATTAAATTTATATTAAATATGAATATCAAAAGTACTAAAAACAAATTAATTTCGTAGTTTCATGATATTAAAATAAAAAATATAGGTTTCACGAACAGTGACGGCTTGTGGTTAAAGACATTGGATGTTCTTCAAGATTAGTTTGCCTAGAACTTTGTCTAGGAACGTTTGTTAATTCGGTATCTCTGTGAGTCGTTGAGATAAGGATCTGACATCTGTCATTATTGTATTTTTCGTAAATCATTTGTTAACACTACGCCAGAGTAAGTATTCCCAAGTTAGAAAGGAATCGGTCAATGTCCGAGCCCAGAAGGGCACCCAAAGTACCCGTAGTGGGTTTTCAAACAACTTATTCCAAACGCCTCAAATCCAGGTTGTACAACGCTGATGCATTGAAGAAAATCACAACACCTACTACCTTTAAATCTCCTAAAACCCTCAAAACCAAACTCAGGACGCAGTTTGATCAAGTAACCGTGAGTACTGAACAGAATATACCGCATACACTAACACCAGATAACACAGGGGTCAACTGCCCGAACCAGAGGGCCCCCCTGGCCAAAATTTCGTCTGAACGACCTTCAGTCGACCGCCAAGGTGTTGGTGAGGCGGCATAGCCGGCAATAAACCCCGTGGAAGGGGAAAACGCGCGAAAAGCGTCGGTGGCCGGTTCTGACGAGTCTCTAGAATATCTGGAAAGTCAGGACGACAGTGCCAATAGCGTTCACAGTATTCCAGGTAAGGAATACGACGATTCAGTCAAAAAATTAATTAATGATCTTGAAAAATCCGATGAATCTATATATTCCCAAAATAGCACAGAAAGCAACAATATGGATACCACAGTAGTGGACACCGAAAACAAAGCAAGAGAGCCAGGAGAAAAATCCCCGTTGAAGACACCTTTGTGTCTTTGTATGTCACAAATCCCTCAGGAGTGCAATATAAGACATTAAGCCTTCCTGACAATAAGCAACCTTCTTGATTTCCAAACTAACGACTACTATAATAATACTACACAGAACACTTATACGTCAACAGGAGGTGTGGGATACGCTCAAAGCGAGGGCGAATTGAGTAATTTTCGTTTTGGGTATATCCCCACACCCCTAACACACTGCTAGGAGCCACGGTAAACATGACTAGCATAGAACTTAAAGACAAGGGAGCGATTAGTAAAAATCGTGAGAACGCTGATCCCAGAACCAGGCCGGAAAACAGACGAGGAGTACCAAACAGTGTAGCCTCGAACACATTAGGCTATGAATCCAGTATAACCTCCGAAGATGATCTCAGAAAACAAAATGACCCATATAGAAACCTCCCACATTCGCCCAATAGCCTGTTCGAATTTAGGAACCCTGTCTACAGAGCTAAATCTGAACAGGAGCAAAATTACATCGAAGCTGCAAAGAAAGCGAGTATAGATTTACCATTCGTCACACCCAGGAAGTTCTTCTCCAATTTCGAGAAGCTTACCAGAGAAAAGTCTAAAAAAACGATAACAAACACCCACAACAAATTTGCACCACTAACCGACGAATCTGAGGCCGATTGCGAGGAAGACGACATATGAAAGATTGTCGAAAAAAAGAGCACAAAATTCGGACCAATGGACATGGATGAAGCCCCATCCCCAAATCACAATACCGGCTAGTTAGCAACTTTGGTCGGACGGCGGACTGTACGGTGACGTCATCGCCCGGTGCGAAAATTCGTGGCTTACTGCGATTTGTGTATCGGACAGTGGTGCTACTGTGTAGTCTTGTGATTTGAATTTTATGTACATAAACTACCACAAGACGCACTTACATACAAGGACAACCCTGTTTTTTACTAACGGTTTTTCAGGGAAAACAGACAAAATTAAAATCACACAAAAACCCATACTTTACCACTATTGCTCTAATGAAGAACCAAAATTGACTTATAATACTGTTTTACAGTAAGGAGAAGTCATTCTAAACTCAAACAAAAAATAATAGGCATTATTTATACGGCCATAACATCGGTCAAGATCTCAATTGAGGCCTCCTAGAAAAGAATCTTCAAGAACACATGTGCGAAGAGAGCCTTCTAATTTTATAATATAAACAGTGTATTATTATGAAAATTTTATGTACATAATGTAAATAAAGGACTTTTGTATCTAACTATGTTCTTCAAGATTCTACAGGCATCGCAATCTAATTTGTCTGAAGAGGGGATGCGCGTTAATCTCGAATTTCAATTGTCAACGCCTACTGTAACTGTTAAAGAGAGATGCAAACAATAGCCGTGTTGTCGGGGGGCGATCAGTAGATGATAATATTTTATTGAATTTGTGTTTGTTTGTAGTGTTTTCTTTTGAGTAGTGACTTACTTGTGTAAAAATGCCGAAACATATTTCAAATAATATTTCATCTTTTCGAATATTTTATGAAAAAAAAAATGTTCCTCAGCAACAAATAGTTTTGAAAAAAAAAAAAACAACGATGATAGTGAAACTTATAGACAATGTGCTGTGAATGATGATCCCAAAACTCTCACTGAACACTGAAATTAAATAACAAGTTGCTGAAGCTACAGAATACTCGGTAAAAACAATTGAACGAATAATTATAGAAGGTGACCAGATATCAAAAGGTGAGAATTCTACATCGACCATACCTAAACAATTGTTAAAAAGTCCAAAAAAAACGCAGAAGAACATCAAGTGTAACAGATATTCCGTCCTACAATAAGAATATTGGAACAATCAGAGATATAATTTATAGATTTCACGAAACAGAAGGTATGCGCGTAACAGTTAAAACTCTTAATGATAAATTAAAAAAGGAAATTGAGTGGAAAGGGGGCTACAAATCATTAAGAACTATTTTTAAAAAAATTGGGTTCAAGTGGCGAAAAACGCGAAACAACAGACATGTTCTAATAAAACGGCTTGACATCAGGGAAAAAAGAATAAATTATATTAAAAAAATTAAGATATTTTCGTTCTCAAAACCGTCCCTTTGTATATATTGATGGAACTTACATAATATAGTAGTAGTAATGCAAAAGGTTTGTTTTCCACCATTTCGAAAGGGAAGAGACTTATTATAGTTTATGCTGGTGGTAACATGGGCTTTATTCCTAGCAGTTTATTAGTGTTTGTGTCTGGGGCCAGATATTGAATTTGAACCTTCCTTATTACGACCACAGCTGTGCACATTAATCAAACAGCATAAAAGTAGATTGAAGCAATACAAATTTGATAGATTATTCTCCAAACACGGTCATACAGTTTTGAGATTACCACCATAACACCCAGACTTAAATCCAATAAAAATTATCTGGGCTGTAGTAAAAAATAATGTAGCTATAAAGAATATTCATTTTAAATTAGCACATGTACAAATGTTAGCTGAAATTGAATTTAAATCGGTAACCCAAGAAGACTGGAAAAAAAGATGTGCACATGTAATAGCTGTCGAAGATAAATATTTAGATCACGAAATTATAATGGATGACGTTGTAATTCCTACAGTTATTATTAATGTTAATGAAGACAGCAGTGATAGTTCTAGTAATAGTGATTATTTTGATGACGATTTTTTAGAACTCTGTTAATTTGTTTATATTTATTTTGTTTGATAGTAGTTATGGCAACAAGGAATAAAGGTTAGTATAAATTCATATTTTTAAAAAATCTTCGTTGTCTTATTTTAATATTTCTATGCTGATGACTTTCACCACTTCTACTTCACCCTCACATTTTGTTAAAATATTAAAGATATCAAGTGCAAAATCACCATTTTTTTTTTTTTCACCCAATAAATTTTTTTAACAAAATATTTGTGATTCATCTGACCGTGACCGTTTTAAAATCCTAGAAAATTTATTTTTCGTGCAATCGCACGCGAAGTCAGTATTTCGCGTTCTCAGCACAGTCCGCGAAATTTAATTTCGCGGCCGTTACCCATAGCAACGGCTGCGAAACCAAACGTCACTTCCAAATTTGAATATCACTTCCAAATTTGACATTTCTAAAATAATACAAAGACAAGGATTATTTTTTATTGAATACCAACAAATACATAAGTACTTATATTATTTAGGATGAATATTAACATTAATTGTACAGTTTGTATTGTTACTTATATTTACTCCAGAAGTTGAAGCAACTACATCTAGTGTTTCTGAATAATGCTTATTGCCTACATTCAAACCAGATACTATATCGCCAGAAATTAAGTTGGAAATTTGCTTCTTATTTTCGGGTATTAAAACGGAAATCGCCGAATTTACAACTCTCTTGAGTTTAGGAGGAGTGGAAGGTACTGAAATATTGCTATCAGTATCAAACATTTTGCGTTTTGTCAGGAACTGTCAAAATATTTTGTATGTATTGAACATTTTCATAGCACACGGTGACATTGTTAAATAAATTGAACTGCTGTTGATTTTAGAGCAATAATATATTTATTTACAATTATCTAGTTTAATAATTTTAACGATTGCACGAAAAATAGTGTGTATGCCATGGCCGCGAAACTTTTTAACGACCTCAAGATTATCTTGCCTCGGCCGCAAGCGGCCTCGGCGATAACTATTCTTTCGGTAGGTTAAAAAGGTATTTCGCGGCCTAAGCATACAAATAACTATTAAACGAAGGTAGTATACGCTACTGATCTTTAATAGTAGCCATTAAGATCGTTTGGAGGTGTGTCGAGCAGTGCGCAAACTTTACCCCACTACTGACAAATTAGATTGCGATGCCTGTACCTAAAGTTGGCATTTCTCATTTTTAATTATTTCTTTTAAAATAAAGCTTTTTGTAAGCCGATTAATTTTATAGTTAGATTACACCTATACCACTATATAGGGATATCTCAAAATTGAAGAAATGGCACTTGGTCATGTTATGCATAAAGTTCACTGTTGTACTACTCTGCTAACACTAACTAATAGATATGTAAACATCTTAACATCATATATTTTAAAACAAATGTAACTTACAGGTTTGAAAATGGCTATACTGTCGAAACCGGTCATCAAATAATTGTTATTAAATATTGGTTGTTGCATAAATTTTGTGTTTCATTTAGCACATTATATTTTATTTACATTATTTTCAAGATTGAATTAATCTAAAAGCATACCAATCCAATAATGACCTGTACCTACATAATATAAACTAAAAAGTTAGTGACATAATGGTTTATTTTTGTTCTTGGGGTAACAGGTTTAGAACAACCCAACCCTAGTAAAGTTTTGAAGTTAAATGGTTTTCAAGTTGATATTAATAATCTTATATTTCAAAAATTTTATTCAAATTAAAATTATATACCTGGTAATCTATTTCCATCCATTCGCATATCAAGAGGTCCCATGTGAGATATTGAAAACCCTCTACTACCATTATCAAATTGCATAGAAGAACAGCCCAAATCGAGAAGTATACAATCAACTGAGTTTGGGGCAATATCTTTAGCCTCTAATAATGCAGGAAGTTCTGAAAATCGTCCAAGAAATGGAATTATTTGAGAAGGATACTCATTTGATAAGTTTTCAGCATATTGATAAGCAACTGGATCTCTATCTACTGCTATAATTTTTACACCAGAAACACTATTTAAAATTTTTCGAGTATGGCCTCCTGCTCCAAAAGTCATATCCATACAAGTCTCACCCTTTTGAATATTTAAATATTTTAAAACTTCGTCTAACATAACTGGTTTATGAGGAATTTGTGCCTCTACATTTTTAGTTACTGTACTACTATATTGTCTAATTGTCCTAAGAACTAATGTATTCCAAAATAACATTTTTTTATTCATCTTATGGGTCCGGTTTTAGTGATATTAACTTTCGAAAGAAAGATTGATTTTTCTGGTTCACTTCATCTAAACATTCATTTGATAATGCTATATTACACTCTTCTGCAGTTAATCCAGTTGCAGATGTTCCGAGAGACCTTTTGTACTTATTTTTGTGACTGTTATTAACCAATGATAGAATTGCTATATATTGTTTATCCCAGTATTTGGGGTTAGTTTCAAATTTGTTTTCTTTATAAGAAGTATTCACAAAATTCCTTAAGTATTCACTGATATCCCTAAAAATTATCTGCTTCAAATAAATTTATTATTAAATAATCTGGACTATAGTAAATACCTTCCACCTGCTTTATTTTTATCTACAGGCCACTTTTCTAATAATGACAAAATGCGTTTGTATACTCCTGCCGAAGATGCCATTTAATGATATTGCTATAAGATCAAATTAAATAATGTTGTGTGAGCAAATAAATCATAAATATATTTATTTTTAAATATAAATATCCATATTTATAACAACATAACCATAAATGTGAAATGTGACAAACGAGTCAAAAGACCTCAAGATGAAATTGGTTCTTGCATATGGCGGAGAAGTGTTTCCGATTTCCAGTGACGTACTGTTTTATAAGAGTTGAAAAGAAAATATATGGTGGCTTTTTATTTTCACATGGTAAACCATATGTAAATCACAAATTTTATTTTTTAACAAATAGTTACTTTTGGTTTGTATTTTTTTCATTTGCCATCAATATATGAATAAACTGAACTTTAAAATAGCGTGTAGGGATATACTTGTGTGTCTTTTTTTCCATTAATTTTTTGGAATCGTTGTTTCATCGACTCGACTTTGAACGCCTTGCGTTGAATTCGTTTTATTTATGGTTGATCCTTTAAAAAATAACAGTGGACAGTTTGAATTTTAATTTGTTTTTATAATTTTTTATATTTTTATAACTTCGATAACATGCTATACACGTAATAAAAACTGTAGAAGTCAGATTTAGCTTTTCTTATAATAACTATAATATTCCTCTTAAAACAGACTACTGCTTCAACGATTTACCACACAGTTTTCCTATTGTTTTATAAGGTTGATAAAAATAAAATGAAAACAACTGAATTCTGCAATCTTTTATTTTAAATATATTTATTGTCCCTTAATTAAGATAATTTTTAGGATCTTATATCTTATACAGTAAATATTACAGAGCAGTGGTCCAACACCCTTTATTTTTATCACGATACACAGACTAACGGTATGTTCCTGCGCATGTAGCTGAATGACGATGACGTCACGTGGGACATAGAATTATAAGCATTAAATAGGAGATAGTGTTTAAAATTCGATATTTTGCCAATTTTAGATTTTATGCAGTTACTTATAAGCTTTATTGATTATTTTGTAATATATTCGTTGACAAATATGAAGGTTTAAGGTAAATAATACTAATAAAAATATTAATTTTGCTTATAAATTATAGGTATTTTGTAACAAAATCTATAACCTGGCCATAAATAGTACTTTTAGTCGGTCAGATCAGTTCTGCGTTCAGTCTCAGTTTTAGTCGAACTGTCAGTTATCTGTATGTGTAAACACAAAAAACTGTAACAAAAACTGAAACTAATACGGAGCCCTGGTTCGATGGGCATATCCAAGTTATCGTATCAGTTGTCAGTTAAAGGGATGTAATTTCCAAACTGAACTGACAAACTGTAATGAAACTGAACTGAACGGAGAACTGATCTGACGGTCTAAAAGTACCTTATAAGATAAGTAAAATATATAGGCTAAAAATACAAGTTTGACTCAAATTTGTACTTTCTGGGCATGGCAGTTCTCTTGCAATCTTTTTTCTTATTATGTGAAATAAAAAGTGTGCACAAACGAATTGTTTATTTATAAAAAGTAAGTACACAAAAAAAATTACTTTTTATTAGGAAAATTTAAACATTTTTTTGTCAAGTTTACTTCGAAAATACTCAAAACCAATTTTTCTGTTCATTTATATTATTCTTATATACGTTTGTGTCCTGCTCATGCATGGAATTACTTCAAAAGAATCGTTGTATTGGGACAGGAAACTACTGTTTAATCTGCTAAAATTTTAAAATACCGAATTATTTTCTTTAAGAGGAATCTCACAACTACTCTCCTCAAAGTGGATAGGGCAACTTCAATTAAGTTTGTCCTTTCTTCGATAAGAATTTACCCATATTTTGTTGCATTCGGAAATATCTTCACCAAGCAGCTCGGCATTTTAAACATTAATTTAGTTCTTCCTTGTTATATATAGGAAAATATAGTCACTACTAACAAAAAAACAAATAAATTATTAAATTATTTTACACTATTCAAACAAAAAGTGTCAAAATAACTTGAAAGTTCGTCCCGCATTACGTCATTGTGCGGTTTGGACGAATTTTGAATCGAAAGTCAGCAGTCCGTTAGGATGTGTATCGCGATTTTTATTTAAAATCAATAGAAATACTTTTCTACTGGATTTATATTTGTTTGAGGTTCTGCAGTGACGTCACAAATTGACATTTGGCAAAAGTGCATTGATAACTCATTCCTTGGAAAAGACGAGTGTCTCACGACAGTAAAATTTTGGCTGCACGGATCATGCGCATTTCATGTTACCTAAATATGACAACTGACAGAGAAATATAGACCGTGCAACGTTGTTTGGTGGTTGTTTGTTGTCGTTTGCTAGCATATGAAAGTTTGTAATAATAGTTTAATGTTTATGATACCGAAGTTTATTCTATTGAAATCGATAAATTTTAAAATTTATATAATGAAGAATTTGATATTAATACAGTTTGGTATCTATTGTACTTTGTTTAACCTGTTCGTATGGATATTATTTTAAGTAATTTTTTATCATTTCTGTTAAATTTGTATTATATTCTTTTTTAGTTTTCAAGTGGATGAATATTTCTATTATTTTAATTAAGAATTTTTAAACTCGGCTCATCGAGACCTTGTATTAGTGAGATCACAATAAAAGTTAGCCAAAAAATATATTATGTTTAATAAATTTAGGAGATTAGCAGCGCTATGTGCACATAATGTTTTTAACTATCTTGATAAATTTTCTATGAGAACATAGTATTGTTGGAGGTATATGACCGTATGTCAGATAATTGGCTATCAAAACATAGAAATATAATAAAAACCAACACGATGGCTCAATCAAAAACCGCCACAACTCAAAAAAACAAAGAAAATTACATTTTTGGTTCAATGGATGCAAAATATTATTAAGTTTTTATTTTAAATCCCGCCACAAACCGAAACATCCTTAGAGATGCCCGAAAATCATTTAAAATCTAGCTACAAATTATCTAAAACTGCCTCAATTCGGGTTATTTTCTGCAAAAACACCCAAATGTATTACAAACTACGAAACAATTCCAGTTAAGGCGCTTTTATAATGGTAATCGTTAATTTTAACAGCAAAATATCGTAGCTTTTAAATAAAATATTAAGATCTTGTCAAAAACAAAATAATAATAACAGATAATTACAAAATTTTAAAATGAAATTACTCAAAACAACAGTATTTTAGTTGAGCCAGTATTTGATTGGGCCATCGAACAATATATGCAAATTAAAACAAAATAGGTAGTTTTATTAGTAAACAATACATAAATATTGTGACAATAATTGGGTGTCCAAACATTTAATCTGCTCTACTAAAAAGTTGACTAAAATGACATAGTGCAGAGTTTACCTTCGAGGTAAAACTACATTATTTGTATTTTGAATAAATTAAACAAACATTTGTCATATATTATGTATTTCTAGGCATTTCACTAATACTTTTATAATAAAATAGAAAATGATTATTTTATTTGTACGCAAAAAAAAATGGTAGGTCAGAAAACTATGGTAAATTATTATTTGTAAGTACACAAAAAATGGTAGTCCAGTATAGGTATATTATTTATAAATCGAAAATACTTTTGAAACAGTAAATTATTAAGATGAAAGTGGAACGAATACTTCAGTGTGTAAAAATTTAAATTATATTATTAAAAATTAGACAGCGCTTTCGGCTTCAAAAGCCATCCCAAAAGGTGTTAAAATTAACAATTGAAATATTAAATGATGTTAAAACTTATGTCTAGGATACCTACCACATGGGATCATTAACAAGATATATTTGAGTCATGGAGTAAAATAATAAATACAATAAATGTAGAATCACGGTAGAATTGCTAAATTTGACATCATCGCAAGTTGTCAGTACATTTAGCTTAATGCGCATGATCCGTGCAACCCACATCTTACTGTCGCGAGACACTCGTTGGAAACGTAGTTTTCTTGTCACTTGTCAATCGCAGCCGTGAATGACAACTGACAATTGGTGCTTTAAATTAAAAGTTGTGTTATGATAAAAATGTGATGAGCGATGAGGTTTATAATTTAATTTGAAGACTTAGCATTATATACAGATAAATACTCAAATGTTAAAATAGTTGTACCTAAAATGTTTCAAATTTTAAGATGTGATACATAAATTTATCAACTAGTATATTAATATGGAAAAGTAACATGTATTTTCCAGTGGGTTGGCCCAAAGTAATAAAAATACCCGAGTTGGGTAACTCCACAATAAAACATATAACATCAAATAGAGACAGGATATTATTTGCGATTCTCACTGATGACCGTTTAGGAATATGGTTCTGCAGGGTAAATAATATATTTAATAACAATGTCACCATATTTATATTGACCCATTTAATAGTAAAATGTTTTTATTACAATATCACAATTTATAAACTGCTATCCCTCAATACAAATTTCACTCTCATAAGAATACATTCCTCTGCTACAGAAAACATTGAAAACCCTCTTAAGAATTTGAATTAAAAATTTTTTTGGATTCAAATAATCACTTGAAAGTAATAAGTACTTACTGAGTTCTTTATTAAATAAAATATTAACATATTTTTTTAGCCATGTGTACCAATAACTTTTCACCGCCGCTCACCAATATCCATTCAAAAATATGGGACAAATGTTATTGCAGAATGGAAACCAGATTCAAGTATGATAGTTATTGCAGTAAGTATATTTTTTCTAGTTTTTATAATTTTAATACTTATCTCAGATCCCGGAATCCATTAAGGACTACCAATACAACATTCTAACACATTTGATGACAAATCACTGTTGTCTGAGAAACCACATAAAGAAAATAAGTCTGCAGAAGTCTGCTTTAAAGATCAGGCACATTATACTGCACTATGTCATTCTAATCAACTTTTCAGTAGAGCAGATTGCATGTTGTTTGGATACTTTTTGTGCTCCATAATTACATATATTAATTATATTTTGACAATAAATGCAGTTAGACCCAAGTATTGTCCAATATTTATGTATTATTTACTAATACAACTTTTTTTAATTTGCATAAATTCTTGTTTTTTATGACAGTATTGTATAACTCCAACATATTTCTGTTTTTATAGCAAATATGCCTCCTACATGCCTGTATGAATAATACTTCTAACATGAGAGTTAAAAACACTATATGCACATGGGGTTGTTAACCCCATAAGTTTGAACATAGGTGTTATATTTTTTATGCTCCTGGAAAGGTCTTTATGAGCTGAGTTTAAAAATATAACTTTTATAGAACTGCATTATGCCAACATAATGCAGTTTATCTCCGAGGTACTGATTTTATATACCTACTTTGGTCTGGGATTAATTAGGCACCATACATTTGGGTTAATCCAACTGAAGACTGTTACTTGAATATATTGATTATTTTAAAATTTATGAGGTAACCAAATAAGAGATATAATCTAATTTTAAGCTGACTAAGCTACAGTAGGTGAACATTTTTAAAGTAAATGGTGAAATAATTTTCTCAATTCTTGAAATAAAATTTAAATACCTTCAACATGTTTTTTTTTAATATACATTTTATCAAATATATTTCTATTTAATTATAAACACCCCAACCTATTATACCTCTCAACAGTATCTGCATGTAGAAATAAATATCTAACACTAAAGTTAATGTTCTGAACATTCATGTCTTTGGATAACTACTAATATTATTATTTTAGACATCAGAAGGCCATTTACTATTTTATAAAGTAGAAGTTGCTCCAGATCATAAAGGTTTTTATCATCAAACTGATTCTCCTAATCTAAATCTTAGAAGGGACAGTGCAGAATTATTTATAAAGGAAGCCATTCCACCTCTGAAGTTGATTTTGGTGAGTACTTTAGAAGGGTAGCTAATTTTTATGTATTATCTACATATGTTAGTAATGTAATGCTATGACAAGTTAAGTATGATTCGTCCTAAACAAGTGATAATGTTTCTTTGTTTTAATTTTATTTTTGAATTCACGAAATAACTGTGTAATATGATGTCTCTACTGTGTTAAAATTGCGATTGGCTATGCATGTTTGACACATTTCACTGTTGTTTGTTCCTACAACAGTCATACTGTGTTAAAATTGCGATTGGCTATGCATGTTTGACACATTTCACTGTTGTTTGTTCCTACAACAGTCAGAAATCACCCATTACAAACTTCAAACACACCTCCATTCTGATTTGGTAAAAATAATTGTTCCAACAGTTCAAGGACTGGTTGTGTGAAGGTCAGAAAAATTTGCTGATAGTACAGAGATTTAGAATTTGATGCATGTTGATACAAATCGGCTATTTTGTTTGTATATACGAATATAGGTTATATTGTTTTGATTTTTAGAAATTAAAACTACATCGTCAATTATAAATAGGTAGATTATGTTTTTTTTTTGTATTGAACTTTTTTGTAGGCACAAACTTATGTATTTATTCTATTCTATGATGTGTATGACATTTCATTTTTGTAATTTAATTCAGCAATTGAAACTAGGAAATTTACTTTCATCGTGATTATGGATAAAGACAAATATATTTTAAATATTATTCATATAAAAAAAAAACTACAATCAGAATTAACTACAACAGTATCCTTGCATATTTTAATGCATGCAATGTAATTGCATTCTTTTTACTTAATTCAATTTAAAAATGATTAATTTCTCTTACCCTTCTCTTATATTGAATGATTGTAAATCTGTACTAATTCACAGGCAGGAAGACCTCGGCTGATAGACTATTGGTTGTATTTTTGACCAATAGGTGAATTTAAGTTATTGTTTATTTAAAAGTAATTTTAAATTTCAGAATGAAGAGATAACTATATGGGATGGCCAAATCACTGGGGTCGTGTGTATAACAATGACGGAATTAATGATATCTACAACAAACAATCATGTTTTGAGGTATCGTTGGGATGGAACTCAAAATCGGGATTATGCATTAGATTTGAGAAGAATTCCGTTTTGCATAAATCAGCAAGTTGCCAAAGCAGTGCCCATAGTTGAAGAGAATATTTATATTACAGATATTGAATATTCTCCTTTAGTTGGTGGGTTTTCTATTGTTCTAAATGATGGAAGAGCAGCTTTTCTAACAGCTCCGTCATTAAAATTTGATCCAAATCAAGTGCAAGGGATATGGGCTCAAGGCATAGATAATGCTACGTGTACCAATATTAACCATAAGTTCCGTTTAATAACATTTGGTCGTTCAAATTCAGAATGCATAGTATATAATATTGATGAAAGTACAGGTGGATTAGAAGTTTCACATACTTGTGTTCTTAGTAGTAAGGACTATCCCGGCGATCCAGGTAACTTATTATATTTTAATGAAACAAGGTGTTTTGATAAATTTAATGTTATTTATTTAATATTCTAAAGGCTAATGAAACTCATTTTGTAATACTATATTTTTTTATATGTTTAAAGGAAAGGCAAGTCATAAATTTACCAGATATTCCAAAGTCATTATTTTATTACATATTTGAGTTTAGAATTATTTTCCTTTTTATAAATGATTGTTCTGATTAATCTTTTGCAAAAGTCTTCCTTTATGGCGTTCTGCTTCCTTTATGGCGTTCTGCTTCCTTTATGGCGTTCTGCTTCCTTTATGGCGTTCTGGAATCGTCGTGTGTCAATCCCTAGTCTTCCCAATTGTGCTTAATTGTTTAATACTTAATAATTAATATTCATTTAATCATGCTACAGTAACTGAAAAAAAAAAAAAAAAAAATAGCCGGTATTTATATTTAAAAATTAATTTTTATGTTTAAATTTTTTAAATTTACAAATTGCAGGCAGTATTGAAAAAGTACGATGGACACCAGATGGTTGTGCATTGGTTGTATCTTGGTCTAAAGGAGGTATAGCGCTTTGGTCAACTTTTGGAGCGCTTCTTATGTGTTCTTTAGGGTGGGATTATGGTTTAAATATGGATTTAGATAAGTTAAATCCTTTACATGTTGCTTGTATGGAATTTTCTACTGAAGGTTATCAGTTGTGGATGGTAAGAAAACACTTTGTCCAAAATGATTCTGGAAATGAAAAATCTTATACACCCCATACAAGTTTAGTTCAAATGGATTTGGTTAAAAGTGCCTTGGCAGTTAATCCATGCATGGTAAGTTTATTTTAGAACATCTCAGGTAAAAAAAAATAATTTTAAGTAATGGATATATTTTTTTAAATGCTTTAATAAAATTAAGAAAAAATTACTGTTGTAAATGTATATATACGAATTTCAGAGTCTTCAGAGCCATTTATATCTACAAGGAGAAGACAAACTTTATGTCAATTCAGCAAACACATTTATTAAAGTTTTTTCTGAAAAGTCTAAAAAAGAAGATATCTTTGAAAATACCAATTCCTTATCGACAACTCTAGATGAAGGACGTCAGTGGCTTATAATTTCAGTTCCATCCACATATTCTGCTACGAATTGGCCAATAAGATACTCAGCTATTGATTCAGAAGGGCTGAATATAGCGATAGCGGGGAGAACTGGACTAGCACATTACTCAATTTTATCCAGAAAATGGAAATTATTCGGCAATGAAACGCAAGAAAAAGATTTTATTGTTGCAGGTGGATTGTTATGGTGGAAGGAATATATGGTGATGGGTTGTTACAGTATTTTAGATAATGGAGAAGAATTTAGGTTCTATCCTCGCGAATCAAAATTAGACAATAAGTTTGCAAAAATAGTTAAAGTGCTTGCACCAGTTTTGCTCATTAATATTTTACAGGATCAGTTGATTACTTTAGGATCTAATGCTCAAGTTTGTATTTGGCAGTTACAATTGAATGATAATGGTAAATATATTTCATTAAATATACTATACTAAAACACACCAATAATTTTATAAATAAATAAATAAAGGTACCTGCACCAAGTACATTTATACATGGGGTAAAGAATTAGATGAGCACATCAATGTATAAAAATAAATTTAATTAAATTTAGGTGAGCATTTTCGGCTTTACAAAGCCATTATCATAGCCTTCATCAGGTACATCGACAAAAATACATTAAACAAAATAAGTTTATAAAACTTCAACCGAAGAGACTACCATTGTTTCTTGAGGTTTGAAGAAAAATCAAAATATTAAAAATATATTTATTAATACGACTTATTTAATTAACTTGATTGGGTCTAGTAACTCATCCTATATATAGCTGCAAACTTTGAATTCGCAAGAAAATTGTTTCTTTTGACACATAACATATTATTAATATTAAAAGAAAATCGACAGAGGTCCAAAATCGATTTATTTGGTGAGGGTACCTTTCACAACTAGATTTTTCTTGACACATTGGTAGGGTCCGATTACAATAAGAAGAACACAGCTACGTCATCAATTGGGGGAGTTATTCGTTGGCTATCGCCGCTTACTGGGGGTTAATTCACATATTCTTTATTTATTAATAGTTATAGGTGATATAATATGTTTGAAATTCGAAATAATAGTTATGACGTAGCGGTGTTCTTCTTATTGTAATCGGATTCTACATATTGCTATTATTTCTAAATCATTTCAGTAGAGGCAAAAATATGATTAAAATTGCGTATACAATATCTGAAACAAAATATCTACCATGTAGAGATGTAAAAGAACAGACAATATGACACATGACCCATGCAAAAAATTCTATAACATTCCTTCTAAAATGCACAGTTAAAATATCTCCGGAGCCATTTGTTGCAGCTGTTCTTGGAATAATATTCTTAGAAAAGTAATTTTTATACACACAAAATTACTCGTGATATATTTTTTTATTTAAACAAATGGATTTCAAGAAAAAAGTTGTTTTATGGTAAAAAACATGGGACTTTGAGAAAAAAAAATTGAACTTTAAAAACATTTACATCATACAATATCAACAATTTTAGTAATTTTTAACATAACACAAAATATTAATTAATGTAGTTTTAGAATGTTCTTTATAAATTCTTAAAAAACAAAGAAAAATAAAGAAAGCGTTAGTAGAATGACACTAGGAAAATTGTTGAGAAATTTATTTCTTTTGCGGTTCTTTTCAACTAATTGTTGCTACTTATTGCTACTGTTCAGGCATGCAAATGCTGATCGAAGAAGATACATGCAGCTTTACTCAAGAAAACAAATTTCTTCCGAGTTTTGAGGCAATTTGAAAACAATCCCCAAATTAGCGTGAGGAGAATTGCTCAACAAATAGACATACCTACAACAACTGTTGGGCGAATTTGTAACAACCAGTTGTCTAACCTAACCACCTTTGTCACAACTGATTGGTCTTTAACTACTGTTATCAATATAATATTATTTGTCACCAGCCAAAGGGCCATGTAGTCCCAGTGGTAAAAAAATAAACATAAAAATAAAAAAATAAAATAAATCCTTTAATAACATAGTCGAGCGGTTTTGGCAACTGGTTAAAGACTCTGGTATTCCTTAGGGGTAGGAACCTCAAAGCTTCACAAGTGCTTGGAATATTTCATAACTGGTTTTGAAAAAAGGAGGAGAGAATGATAAGTGAATAAACATATAATATGCATATTTAAAACTAGAATGAAGATATATAATGCCTGGCATTCTGTATTTTACTCTTCACAGATTAATAGATCCCCTTAGCCCCTATATTAAATCAGATTTTTTTCAGAATATATAGGCTTCATCCCCTTTATAAAGCTTGATTTTTCCTGAAGATTTCAATTTGATATCATTTTTTGTTTCTGGGTTAGGTTTTTTTCAATATTTTAACCCCCCTTATCTCCCCATTTTTATTTATTTAATAATTCCCTTATTTCAAGTTATTGTTCTTTTTAGGATTTTTTTAAATATTTCAACCCCTTAACTCCCCATTTTTTTTCAAAATCAATTTCATTATTTCATGTTGATATCGCTTTTCGTTTTTGATTTATGATTTTTTTTTTTTTTTTTTAAATCTCCCGTTTTTAATTAGATTTTTTTAAATTCACAAGGATTCTTCCCTTATAGGGCTTGACTTTTGCTAAACATTTCAAGTTGATATAATTTTTTGTTTTTGAGTTAGATTTTTTTTTGATATTTCAACCCTCCCCCCTTTACTCCCCTTTTTTAAACCGATAAGCTTCGTCCCCTTATAGAGCTTGATTTTTCCTAAAATTTTCGTTATTTTTCGTTTTTGACTTATCGTGCGGACAAAAAACGTTACATTGGACGGACGGATAAAGTAAACCTATAATACTCTTCACATACTACTGTGTGAAGAGTGTAATAATTACTAAATGACTAAAATTCTCAATATAAATGAAAACAATTTTTATTTAAGGAATAAAGCAAACATAAACTACTACGACTTCGGCACTATTTGATGTGTCCAAACTTTTTGATAAAGGCTGAAATTATACAATACACGACCTATGACTTATGACAGATAGAGAACTTCCTACTGGATTACGTAGCTTGGACTTATTAAAAAAGTATATCATTGAAAAATTAATCTATATTCGATAGTTATTTAGTAATTAAACTTGGGACGAAAACTGTAAAAATTGGCATTAAAATTGAAAATACTTAATTGTCATAAAGCAAAAACCAAACAACATTATAAACAACAGTTAAAATAAATAAAAATAATTCAGATGCCTTGGTTGGATTCCCCACTCGACCATTCACTGTTGGGTTCTAATTAACAGTGCTGTTCCTAAAGTGGCGCTGGGAAACAGTAACAAAGCCTACACAGAACACGAGGCGAAATAACAGCAGTTGAAGCCGATGACACACAACAAAAAAAAAAAAAAATACATCTGGCACATAAATCGTTGCACAAAACTTTATACATAGGGTCTCAAAAGAAACGGCTCTACAAGAATAGCCTTTCGGCAAGATTTTCGGACAGCAGCTCCTACTCAAGTCTCCTTTCTGTCGACTATCAACTCTATTTAAATCAAAATTTACGTGACAGAATCAATATTATTTTGAAGAACATGAATAACTCTTTCAATGAAGGCCATTGACTGGGGTAATAACCTAATTGCTTGGTTTATTTCAATACGTTGTTTTTCTATTTGAATATTTAGTTAAAACATTTAATACTTTTAGAATTTTTGTGCAATTCTTTATATTTTACTACAAATTCTTTAACACGTTAACGACCACGCGTCACATATATGTGACAAGCAGTTTTTTCTAGAAACTGCTGTCACAAATGTGTGACAATGACCCTACATTGATTAAATGCAAATAACTCCCGGGCGGTTCAGCGGCCACATATATGTGTTTTGGCATCAGTTTCTGGGCGTGTCTGGCACACACATGTGTCATATGGTTTTAGGATTGGATGGTTGGTTCCAGTCATAACCATAAATTCACGTGGCGGCTGTGGTTTATATCGTCTCCCAACTTGTGCAGATTTTTGTTGATTGTAGACACACAGAAAGGAGTATAACTTGATATTCCTGTCTACAATGTAAGGATAATAAAGGTAACCCTATTGGATTATGTCCGTCCCCATGTTTTGGCATGTGGCATAAAAGTCAAAAATGAGAATTTCTGCAAAGTTAGAGTTGCTATGTTTTTTTTAGATTTTTTGTCTGTTTTTTATTTCTCACAATAATTATGTCTTTCTTGTAGTTTGTTTTTTTTTTTTTTTGATAGAAAGTATTTACCTCATTGTTTTGCAATATAAATAATCAAAAAATGTATCCTTAGTTTCATTTAGATTATAATATATGTGACATTAAGTAAAAATACAAAAATTAGATAACAAAACACCTATAAAAATATAATCTTTCTGTCAAAAAGTTATGCCACCCAAAAAACGCGGTTGGTTTCTAGCATCGTCAAATTTCATAATAGCGGTCGTGAACGTGTTAAGAAAAGAACCTGTACTACCAAAGGACTATCACTCCCGTTTGGCACTTTTCATGCAAATAAGGCTCTTCATCGAGAGAATTTGAATTTTGTATCATTTTGTCCAGTGGAAGTCACATTTACAAGAGATGCTTACTAAATTCGAATAATTTATACCAATATGCAGATGAAAATCCTCAAGCCATTGTTTTAACATATTTCTAGAAAAAAAATCGTTAACGTTTGTACGGGGAATGTGGGCAATAATTTGCTGGGGGCCCTTTTTTTATCTAGGAGATAAAGGGGTACTAAGTATTTAAACTTCTTACACAAATAGTCTCAAAGAAAATTTCTTATCTGGTCTCGATCGTCAAAGTTTGTTTGCATCAATTCAGCATTACTTATGTGATCATATATTGTTACTGTATTTTTGTTTCTGAAAATGTATACAAAATAACTATACATTCATTTTTTTAAATTTACTGAATAACAGTCTGATGTTCATTTTAAACTACAGATTTTTACTTTTTAATTCTAATTTATTTATTGGATGTGCAATACAAAATATTTGTTAAAAAGTGAATGAATAATTTAAAAACTTAATTATTTAGTTGGAGATGTGGAATTAACGAAGACTCAAGTAGTAGATATATCAGCCTTAGCAATTCATCCTGCTTGTATAACTTCTGTAACTCTTACGTGTTTGCGTACTGAAACAGTAAGAGGCCAGCATAATATGTTTGAAAGTATTCTAATAAACGTGAGTGGTCGCCTTCTATTGGTTCAAAGAGAAAGTAGACATGGCGAAAAATATGCTTGTTTGTTACCAACAGTTCTTGCTAGTTGCGTTGAAAACGTTTGGGTGCCAAGACGAAGAAAATTGGAAAAGGTAACCTATTTTTTCATTCATTTATAACCATGAAAATTTTTTAGTCATTCAAGCTATTATAAATTTAAAAATATATACAGGGTGATCCGTTGTGTAAAAAAGTTATGTCTTCATCACTTAAGGTAGTTCACTCGTAAAACGACTTTTCTTAAGAATTCAATAAAATTTAAATATAAGGTTTATGAAAGTGTCGTTTACGTAACTAAAAAAAAATTAGATTTTGTGACCGTGTGTGAAACGAGATATTAACAATCAAAATGTGCATAATTAACACTCTTAAAGCCTGTCATGTACACAAGCAATGCATTTATTTCAAGATATCTCGAAAACAGTTCTTACCATATATTTTAAAAACTAATGTTAAATAAATCAAGAAGTTATAAAATTTTATAAAAAATCGCTGAATTTTTTGACTGTCTTAGTAAAAAGATATAGATTTTTAAAATAAAAATATTTTTAAAGCAGTTGACGAGTAGTTTCGTAAAATTATTACAACTTGGCAACCTTGTAACTGTTTCGAAATCAAAACATATCAAAACATTTGAAGCCGGTCCTGCGCGCCACACTTTGGGTGGTCCGTTGAATATATATAAAAAATCGTTGTAAACACCTGCCTTATGGTCTACGTGACATTACCCTCGTGAACGGGCAAAACAGGATCACACCTGACTAGCCGGCACTATGCATTTGTTCCATCTGTCTCCCTCTATCGTTTTCTATCTCCCTCAACATATACGCAGCTAACCGAAAAAGAAGCGCACTTTTTAACCAGACACCAAAGCAAACAGACGTGTATTGAGTTCGCTCTTACACAACATAAAAATGTCATTTTGTAACTCACTTTTTAACAAGTCACCGACGCAAACAGACGTGTATTGAGTTCGCTCTTACACAACGTAAAAATGTTATTTTTTTAAAAAAAAGTTTTTCTCAGCAAAGATAGTTTAGAATGTAAATAAATATGTAAAAAAGTTGTTGTAAATAAGTGTACTGAAGATTTATGAAGAGTCATAAATAAAAGGTGTTATCTACGATAATATTGCGAGTTTTATTCCATAAGGAAATTACTACAGTCCATTAGCCGAAGCAGAGAAGAACCGAAAACTGTGTTACTGCATACGTGGTTTATCAATTCAGGTAATCACGATCACAACATAGAATCTGGTCGTATTCGAGCCGGATGTTTGCAGTTTCGAGTTATGGTCCAGTCAACAGAGACTAACAAACTTAGTGCGGTAATTCTTTAGTGCAATAATAATAATAAAAAAATCGTTCGTAATTTTAAAAAATAAGTGAAAAACAGACAGGTATAACTATTTATTTTACTAATTTTTATTTTCTAAAAGACTTACTACATGGCAAGTAAAAAAAATGTTGGAACTTGCTTATGTAAACTTGTAATTTTTATTTGTTTTTAACTTTAATCTATATTCACGCTTTGTCGTTATATATTCGTTTATATTTATCGTAATATTATACCATAATCGTTTCATTGTCGTATATAGTTGAACATTCAAAATCAATGTTACATATTTTTTCGTTATTTCTAATACTTTGAACATATACCCACAGTGGTCATTTATATTGTTTCGTTACAAAATCGTACTTTTAAATTATACCCACAGTGGTTACTTATATTTTTTCAATAATGTTTATCGTTTATATACTATACTTTAATATTAAACAGAACATATTTTCGGCAATTAAACAAAGCTAACACATCTTCTCAAAAATGGAAAAACATAGAAAAAATAGGTCCACAGCTAAAGGACAACTAACTCGAATCGAAAATTGGATGCATGCAAATCTATATTCTGACTCTCTAAGCAGTACAGCACTTTCTATTCAAATTACTAGTTTAGAACAACAATTCGAAAAATATACTTTGTCTCAAAACGAAATAGACTATTTAATTTCTCAAAACGAATCACTTGTCGATGATGAAGATCGTGAATCTTTCGAAAATTCATACATTCAATTATTAGCAGGAGCAAAAGACGCTCTTAATAAACTACAACCTGAAACTAATCAAATTGTGAATCAAAGTAACATTAATCAAAATATTAAACTCCCAGAAGTCAATATTCAAACTTTCTCAGGTAATCCATTAGAATATACTAGTTTTATCGATTTATTTAATGCCTTAATTACTAAAAATTCAAGCTTGTCAAATGCCGAAAAATTATTCTATTTAAAATCTTTTCTGGTGGAGGAACCCCATCAGTTAATTCAAAAACTAGATATAACTAACGACAATTTTGCTATTGCTCTCGAATTACTCGATAAACGGTTCAATAATAAAAGACAAATATTAAACAACCATTTTGTACAACTGATGGCGATCGCTCAAATAGAAAAATCAAACTCATCTTTGCTCAGAAAATTCGTAACTCAAGCAAAAACCATAATCGATTCCCTCTCTAGTCTTCACATGACATCAGAGGAGCTATTTAACTCTTTTTTGATACATATTTTAGAAAGCAAATTAGATTTTTTCACAAAACAATCATTCGAACAATCCATAGGTAAAAATCAATCACTCAATGTTAATCAACTTTTTGACTTTTTAGAAGACAAATGCATAGCTTTCGAAAACTCTGTAAGTGCCGACAATAAACCAAAAAATAATGCCCAAAATTACTCGAATTTTAGTCATAAACACATAAATAAACCTCAAAAAATATTTTTACAAACAAACCAGAATCCAATAGTAACTCCTGTTCAACAAACAACGTTCCCACATTCTAAATGTGCATTTTGTAACACTATAGAACATTCAATTTTTCGATGCCAATCATTTTTATCACTAACAATCAAAGACAGGTTCAATTATGTCAAAAGTATTCATGCATGTATTAATTGCTTATCCACCAATCATAATGTTAAAAATTGTACTTCAAAACATACATGTCATACGTGCAACCAAAAGCACCATTCTTTATTACATTTTCAAAATACTAACAGTCAAAACGAACCTCGTCCTCAATATGTACAAAATAAATTCAATTCATCAACGTCAACACCTAATTATTCTCAAAATAAAAATTATTTTCAGACAAATAGGCCTTCAGCAGTCAATGTTGACAGTAATCGTAATTTACATGTTTCGAATCAATCATCTTCAGGGCCGTCTACTTCTTATAAGCCTGTTACTTCTTCAGCTTTATCAGCTACAACTACAAAAAATACACATGTACTTTTAGCTACTGCCAAAGCACAAATTAAAACTAAAAATGGCAAGTCTATAACAATAAAGTTACTTTTGGACAATGGTTCCCAAACATCATTCATCACGCAGTTTTTAGCCAATCGTATTGGCTTTAAATCATATCAAAATAATCTAAAAATATCTGGCATCCTAAACGAATGTAATTCCGTTTCTCGTTCTGTTGACGTAACCATTACCGCTTTAAATAATACGAAACAATTCAATTTTTCATGTTCAATCGTAAAAAATATAACGCAAAAATTGCCACAAATCACGATCGACACACACAAGTTAAAAATACCGCAATATTACTTAAAAAATTTAGCTGATGACACGTTCAATATTCCGTCTGATATAGACATTTTGGCAGGCGCCGACATTTATTATTCCATTTTAAGGGGTGGTTTCAGGACTCTTGGCAAAAACCTCCCAACTCTTATAAACACCCATTTCGGTTGGCTATTGGCAGGTACTATACCTCAATATTGCCTACAAAATAATAGCTCGTATTGCAGCATAAAGCATTCTTTATTAGCAATAAATCAAACACAAAATACCTCAGACGAGGAAAATACTCATTTACTAATCGAAAAATTTTGGGAACAGGAGGAAATCACTCCTAGCACTCCTATTTTATCTTCTGACGATGCGAAAGCAGAAGAAATATTTTCAAACACAACAGTAATTTTAAATAACGGAACCTATCAAGTAAATTTACCACTTAGCGATCCACAAGCTCATACTTCTTTAGGTACGTCCTTTTACATGGCTAAAAATCGATTTATTAACCAAGAAAATCGACTACATAAAAATCCACAGTTATTTTCTCAATATCGAGACCAACTTTTAGAATACATCGAATTAAATCAAGCAAAAAAAGTTCCTTTGTCTATTACGAACTCTTCTAATCATAATACATACTTTGTTCCTCATTTATGCGTTCTAAAAGACAGCGGTACCACAAAAGTCAGAGTGGTATTTGATTTTTCTGCAAAAAGTTCTACTCATCTATCATTGAATGACATTTCCCTTAGAGGACCACAAGTACAGCCAAACCTTTTTGATATTTTATGTCGTTTTCGTATATTTAAGTATGTATTAACAGGTGATATTCAGAAAATGTTCCGACAAATACAAATTAATCCAAATCAATCATATTTACAAACTTTACTTTGGCGAGACTCACCTAATCAACCATTTGAATGTATTGAACTAACAACCGTCGCATTTGGACATAAATCTTCACCATTTTTAGCCTGCAGGGTATTAAAGGATATTGCACAACAAAATCCTCAATTTTTTTTAGCATCAGATTCATTACTAAACCAAACTTATGTCGATGACATATTAACAGGGTCAAATACCATTTCTCAATTAAAACTTCTCGAAAAAGAACTTCATACCCTATTGGGAAAACACAATTTTACGCTTCATAAAATATTAACTAATCTTAACGAAAATAAAGACAATGTTCAGTCATCTAATCAACAAGTTGACTTACATCTTGACAATAATACATCTGCTAAAATCTTGGGTTTGTATTGGGACCCTAAATCAGATTTGTTCAATATCTCAGCACCTAACAATTTAGAATTCAAAAAAGTAACAAAACGACTCGTTTTATCTACTCTATCACAATGCTATGACCCTTTGGGCCTAGTCAACCCTATAATAGTCGCAGGCAAAATATTAATGCAATTTTTATGGTCATCCCAATACTCCTGGGACCAAACTATCGTAGATTCTACGTTTTTAGATAAATGGCATCACTTCTTAAATCAAATCCAATTTATTAAAACTATACAAATATCCTACTCATATTTCATGTCATTTAATCGCGGCCAAATCTCGGGTTGCTCCTTTAAAGTCCATTGTTACCATTCCCAAACTCGAGCTATGTGCTATGCTCTTACTAGCCACATTAACTTCTAAAATTTTAACTATTTTTGCCTCTCAAATGTCCTTTGAATCAGTCAATTTATGGTCTGATTCTCAAATAGCCTTATCTTGGGCACAAGCGCACCCATCAAAATGGAACACGTACGTTAGTAATCGAGTTTCTCAAATTCAAGGTCTCGTTCCCATGGCTACCTGGCGATATATCGACTCAGATCTAAATCCAGCCGACATGTTATCTAGAGGTACACTCACTCCGGAATTTTTAAATTTTTGGTATACCGGGCCAACTTTTCTAAAAGATCTCCATTTCGATTTAAATTCACATAATACATTCAAACCTATTCCAAACATCCCTGAAACCAAGAACCAAACCTTTGTATCAAATATCTCAGTCAATCAGGTTGAAAAAGTCTCCGATTATTGGTATAATATCTTTTTAAAATTCTCAAATTTCACTAAACTACATCGAACCATAGCGTACCTACTTAGGTACAAAAATAATGTCCTAAATACAGACTGCAAATTCTCAGGACCACTTCACATACCCGAACTTGACTTAGCCTTAAATTTTATACTAAAACAGATCCAATCCAAATACTTTTCAAAAGAAATCAATACTTTAAAAAATAATTTAGTTATTGCAGACAAACAAATTTTATCGTTAAAACCATTTTTAGATACAGACGGTATCATTAGAGTAGGGGGCAGGTTATCTCATGCAAACATACCATATTCTCAAAAGTATCCTATACTATTACCCTCTAAATGTCATGTTGTCAAATTAATACTTAGTCTTGAACATATTCGATTAGGACATAGTGGTCCTCAAAATGTTTTGTCAAATATTAGACTTAGATATTGGCCACTTAACGCTCTTCGTGAAATTAAGAGTATTATTTCTAAATGTACAATTTGTTTTAAATTCAATACTCAAACAGCACAACAAATAATGGCTGACTTACCGGCTGACAGGGTAACAATTTCTCGTCCTTTTCAAAAAAATAGGTGTAGATTTCGGAGGTCCTTACCTCATAAAAACTTCAAATTTAAAGAAAGCTCCCGTCTCTAAATGTTATATTGCAGTTTTCGTGTGCATGGTCACAAAAGCAGTGCACATTGAATTAGTTTCAGCCCTCACAACTGAGGCATTTATCGCTACTCTTAAACGTTTTATTTCCAGAAGGGGCAATCCCTCTATAATTTATAGTGATAACGCTACCAACTTTCAAGGAGCAAATAATTATCTCAAAGACATTTATTCATTTTTCAAAAAACCCTCAAATTCAACTTCAATTATCAACTTTTTATCTACTAAAGAAATTCAATGGAAATTTATTCCCCCTAGAGCGCCACACTGGGGAGGTATTTGGGAAGCCGCCATTAAGAGCGCAAAGTATCATCTAATTCGAATCATAGGTAATAACACTCATACTTTCGAGCAACTCTCTACAATTTTATCTCAAATCGAAGCTATTTTAAATTCACGTCCCTTATATACAAATTCAAATGACCCTCTCGACGAACAGCCATTAACTCCAGGACATTTTCTTATCGGCACATCTCTCACGTCTTTTCCAGAAAAAGACATATCCAATTTATCAATTAATCGACTTTCCTTTTGGCAAAAATGCACTCATATACAACAGAATTTCTGGAAAAAATGGTCCAAGGACTATTTAAATCGATTACAAAATAGACCAAAATGGTTGACTACACAAATAAATTTAAAACCTGATGATATTGTATTATTAAAAGATGTAGAGTCTCCGCCTCTTGTTTGGCCGTTAGCCAGGGTCTTAGAAACCTACCCCGGTAAGGACGGTAATGTTCGGTCGCTCAAAATTTTATCAAATGGCAGCATTAGCATAAGACCAATCACCAAGGTGGTACCTTTGCACAGGTATGACGACGTTCAACCTTAGACAGTTGGCTATTTAGCAACTGATCATTTCACCGCCTTGTTTAAACTTTCCTTTTTGCTTATTTTTATCAACAGTTAGAGTCAATCTTTTCTATCTTCTTCTTCCAAGTCCGCAAACCACTGTATGTTGCGTTACGCGCATACCTGGGCGACACCCGTCAGTGCGACGCGGTGAAACCTACCCATGGCCTGAATCCGGAAGTATCTCGCACAAGGTACCTAAGGATTCCGTGCCCAAACCATAATATTGCGGACTGTAGTACATTTAATTTTAACAGCCATAACCCGGGGGCTGTTTAGGGGTAAAATATAAATAAAAGGAGTCTCGGACAATTCAGTTGTCCTCGAGTTCCGCGGTTTTTAATTTCTTCGTTTCTTCTATTATCTACCTTCTTTCTCTTCGACTTTTACATAATGTACTCTAAAATGAGACATTTATATAGGGTGATCCTAAAATAAGGACACTCTTGGGTTACTAATCCTTCTTTACAAAGTTTTTTGTTCTAAAGCCTGAATATAGTTTCAGTGCTCATATTTTTTTCGTTACAGGGTGATCTTATAGTAGACACCTTCTAAAGCCTGAATATAGTTTCAGTGCTCATATTTTTTTCGTTACAGGGTGATCTTATAGTAGACACCTTCTAAAGCCTGAATATAGTTTCAGTGCTCATATTTTTTTTTCGTTACAGGGTGATCTTATAGTAGACACCTTCTAAAGCCTGAATATAGTTTCAGTGCTCATATTTTTTTTTTTCGTTACAGGGTGATCTTATAGTAGACACCTTCTAAAGCCTGAATATAGTTTCAGTGCTCATATTTCTTTTCGTTACAGGGTGATCTTATAGTAGACACCTTCTAAAGCCTGAATATAGTTTCAGTGCTCATATTTCTTTTCGTTTCATTATATACAGGGTGATCTTATAGTAGACCCCTTCTAAAGCCTGAATATAGTTTCAGCGCTCATATTACTAATTGTTCTAATCACATTCCTTCAATCATTCTAACGTTCCAATGTTCCAATTCATTATTTGTATATAGTAAAAAGCATAAGCAAGGTACATCAGGTCACAGGGATAGGGCTAGGACACTGAAGTGGGATGTGTTCGCCAGCAGGTCCAGACTGAAACCAATGCTGTAGCTTAAATACATTTAAACAATCAATACATTTATTTAAACTTCACTTATTCATCTGACCTCTTTTTCGTGGGGGGAGGATGTTTCGAAATCAAAACATATCAAAACATTTGAAGCCGGTCCTGCGCGCCACACTTTGGGTGGTCCGTTGAATATATATAAAAAATCGTTGTAAACACCTGCCTTATGGTCTACGTGACATTACCCTCGTGAACGGGCAAAACAGGATCACACCTGACTAGCCGGCACTATGCATTTGTTCCATCTGTCTCCCTCTATCGTTTTCTATCTCCCTCAACATATACGCAGCTAACCGAAAAAGAAGCGCACTTTTTAACCAGACACCAAAGCAAACAGACGTGTATTGAGTTCGCTCTTACACAACATAAAAATGTCATTTTGTAACTCACTTTTTAACAAGTCACCGACGCAAACAGACGTGTATTGAGTTCGCTCTTACACAACGTAAAAATGTTATTTTTTTAAAAAAAAGTTTTTCTCAGCAAAGATAGTTTAGAATGTAAATAAATATGTAAAAAAGTTGTTGTAAATAAGTGTACTGAAGATTTATGAAGAGTCATAAATAAAAGGTGTTATCTACGATAATATTGCGAGTTTTATTCCATAAGGAAATTACTACAGTCCATTAGCCGAAGCAGAGAAGAACCGAAAACTGTGTTGCTGCATACGTGGTTTATCAATTCAGGTAATCACGATCACAACAGTAACCATTACACGTAACAAAGTAACACTCGATCAGCTAAGAGGTTGGTATAAACTCGTGACGTGTTCTTGAAAAATTAATTCTTTTACTGTGTTTGAGAACTGGAATCAGCGGCTCTGTTTGAACCAAAACAAGCCCTTAAAATTAGTATGAGGAAGTCACAAATTTCTATACCATTTGATTAAAATTATAACATGTCCATATGTGTTTATATGTATACATGTGTTTTGTACAGTCTCTTACAAAAATAAATTTGATTAGCATTGAGAATCTCAAACTTTTGGTATTCACCATTACGCGATATTTTTATGTATGACTGTCGCGAGTGAACTACCTTAAAGATATAAAAAAAAATATTTACGGAACGGCAGCATTAAACTCCATATTTTAAAATTATTTTCGAATATACGGATCACCCTGTATTTTAATTAATATTTGAATTACACTCACTTTTCCCATTATAATAATTCTTTATGAATGTGGATGATATTGGTATTTACAACCTCTTCACAAGTACCAGTTCTGAGACAGGCCACAGCTCGTTTTTTAGTTTTAAACAAGCCTTGTCAATAAAAACTATGAATTGTGAATTTGTATTATAATAATAACGAGTTTTTTCACTAAAACTATATTTAAATTTAAACATTTTCTTTGGAAATCTCCAAATAGGACTTGAAAACTGGGAACTACTTTTTTCCCTTCACATTTCCAACTTATTGCCTTAACTCGCGCACTTGTAAGGTATTTACTTGCCTCAAAGAAAATAATCCTTACCTTTGACGCCTTCGGTCCGGGCGCCTTTTACGTTCAGTAAAAAATAAATACCAATAATAAACAACAACAAACTCCATAAGGGCCGCCGAGAGCCGTTATGGGTCCCCTGGACAAAACACTGGCAAGGGCCCGCCCCCCACATATTATGACCTATTTTTTTAAAACTGCCAGGCCCCGGGGATTTTGCCCCCCCCTACTCCTCCCTCTAGTCGGGCTTGAACTCCATTATAATACCTATTTCGTTCTAAGTTTTTTAGTTATAAATTTTAGGCTCATTTGACTGAATCACTGTGGCTCTTTTGTGGATCTCATGGCATGAGAGTTTGGCTACCATTATATCCACGGGATGGCGATAAAACACACACTTTTATGTCTAAAAGAATAATGCTGCCTTTCCATCTAAGAATTTATCCATTAGGTAATTTATACTGTTTTCAATTTAGTTTAACATAGAAATATATATTACCATTATTTTTTTATATTTCAGCAATACTATTTGAGGATGCTATTATATTAGGGGCTGAGAATGATACGGTTTTATATTCTTCAGATTATAATTCACCATTTTCATTACCACTTTGTGTTTTACAAAGAACTGTAAGTGTTTCATATTTTCATTTTTTTTATTATTTATACAATTTATTTTTACTTTTATAGAGCCAAGTTTATTTACATCAGATATTAAGGCAACTCATACGGAGGAATTTGGGATATCATGCTTGGGAGATAGCTAGAAGTTGTATGGCTTTACCATATTTTCCTCATTCTTTGGAATTATTGCTTCATGAGGTAAGATTATAATCAAAATCAAAGTATCTTATTACTAATGTTCCAAAAGGGCACACATTTTAGACCTCTTGGCACATACCAGTTACATGTATGTTCGTTTACAAAAATATTTGTTATTTGCTTAAGATTTGTCGTTTTGTTTTTTTGATGGGTAGAGCACTAATGATCGCATGACATAAATAACTAGAATACAACAATCTTTCTTGATTCATCTGGTATGTGTACACAGCTACTAAACAAATTTCACAATATTATTTTCCCAAATCTAAATTTCGGTTCAATCACTAAGTTGTAATGTGAAAAAAGAATTCAAATTATTGATTTACTAATTCCTTGTAGGTTTTAGAAGAAGAAGCTACAAGTAAAGAACCAATTCCAGATGCTCAATTACCTAGCATACTTGAGTTTATCATGGAGTATCCAGTATACCTTCAAACAGTTGTGCAGTGCGCTAGGAAAACTGAAATAGCTTTATGGCCTTACCTTTTTTCTGTGGCTGGAAAGCCAAAAGATCTTTTTCAAGAGTGTTTAATTAAGGGAGAATTGGATACTGCTGCATCATATTTAATTATTTTACAGGTAAATATAAATGATTAGCTCTTTCCAATAATCGGCTATAGACAAAAACTACACAACCATTCTAGCTTTTACTAGTACATAAAGTAAAATTACTATCATTTTGGAACACCACGTGAAATGGAGATTGAATATTTGATACGTTATTAGAATTATTTAAATTTAAAGTACACAAATATTTATTACCAAAGCACATACTCAGTTTGTATTATGCTTTAGTCGAGAGCCATGGAATTTTACCCACAGGGATGTGCTTTGAAAACTCATTTACAACCAGTAGAAGTTATATAATGCCACTTCATAAAACTTTTTTACTGGAAAACATCTCGCTATCCATCTGATGCTCTACATTATGAATACAGGGTGTCTCAAAAGTCACGGATAAAATTGAAACATGAGATAGGGGAGGTGATTTGCAACAACAAATTTGATATGTTTACATCTTAGGAAGTGTTAAATATTCAATAAAGGTTCAATTAATATTTTTAAGGAATTAAATTTCAAAGCATTAACATTATTTTTCTTGATATTTTTTGTTCAATGATATGGATTATCAGCAAACAAACTTTAGTTGAAAGAAGACAGACACACCACATAAATTTTTTTAATAATTGTTCTCTAGATGAGTTTCGTTATTTTGCTGCTACGTTTGCTAACACATCAAATTTGTAATAAAAAAAAAACTGCAGTAATTTATGTCACTTAACAAGTGGTAACCATTGCACTTCATACAGGAAGCGACATCTCTATTTCAATATTATGTCCAGCAAAAATGAAAAACACCGTCGCAAAAAATCGTATTGCAAAAATAGCAAAACTCGAAAAAATCATAAAATTAGCGATAATTCGAAAACAGTAAAGAATCGGACACCTACAAATTTTTGTTGCAAATCACCTCCCCTATCTTCCATTTCAATTTAATCCGTGAGTTTTGGGATACCTTGTATATTTGAGCTTATATTAGATAAATCACAACAAAAATAATATACTACAATCTCATAACACTCATTTGTATCATGGACTCCATTTTTTAAGGGTTCTGCTACTACTATAATAAATTAATATTGTACTGGTAACATATTATGATTTAATAACAATATACATGGTGTCTCAAAAAGTTGTATTCAAATAGGAAACAGTCTTGCATTTCACAAAAAAACATTCTTTTTGATGAAAGTTTTGCATCACTTGGAAAACCATAATCATGCATTAAATTTTGTAAAATATAGGTGGTGTACAGGAAAAATAAAAAAAATATTTATAGTAAAGTGTAAAATCAGAGGCAACCCAGCGAGACGTGTAACTCAATGTATTTTTTTTGTTCAGCAAAAGTTGTTTGGGCGTAATCGCAACCAGTATATGTTCACGCACTAGTTAATTTTCTTCTTTTCTTAACGCCTCTTACTGCTGTGTGTATCCAGTCATAAATAGCGGGAAAATTTAAAAATATTTTAGGACAGGAAATTCAAACATGGATTTAGAAATGAATAGTTTTTCTATACAAATTTACAGGAGGAACAAAAATTAAAAAATGTAAAAGCTTCCAATAATATCAAATTTTTTTATCATACAAATAATTAATTTCAATGAAGGAAGTTTTAATCATAGTTTAATATATGCAGTAGTTTTTATTACTCTTGTAAATTTCGCTGAAAAAAACTTGAAAATTCTAGTGATTATTAATATTTAAACTTCGAAAAATAATACACCTAACTCTTGTTCTGTAAATTGTATTTTTATAAGGTACAGAAAAACAAACTACAAGTGCTACGTTTAGAAAGTACCTGTCTTGCTCTATTTACTCGATACCGTTCTTTTAGTACATCTACTTCCTCTCTATCGGATCTGCTCTATGGTCTTTTAATGGCAGAGTGATAAGGTTTATTTACTCCATATTAAATTCCAGAGTTTTAGGAGTAAATATTATTTTGTGACAATTGCAAAGAAATTAAGTCACACTTGTTATTTAATTGAGTAGTATTACAAAACCAAGAAAAATAGAAGAAACATGTTATATATTCATAATATATTAAAAAAAAATGTAACATATTTTATAATGTATTGAGTTATAGGTTATGAGTCTTTATTTTAGTAGAAATTATGGAATCGAAACAAACATACACACTCACACAGATATATAGGGCCCGAGTCGAGTAAGTTCCCATCCTGTAAACTGGATCGAAACCTGCTAGACCAATTCCGTCCACTCCCCTGCTAACCCCTCTTAAGGTCCTCAAGATCAATAGATTTACATGTCATGCCTTCTAAAAGGGGATGAAGAATGATATACTATCGTCATTTAAACAGGACGGTGCTAAAGGCTTGCCCTTGTTGTGTCGCCTGTTTGTGTATCTTGTGCATTCTGTTGTGTCCACAGTCATGTGAAAGTTCTCCTAGTCTCCTAATTTGGTGACTAGGTGGACCTTCTCCAACTAGTAGTGTTATACGAAACCAATTTAAGATAGCCTTTTTTTATTCCATCCAAGCATTTTTTGCTCTATGGTAACGTGACTAAAAAATCTATTCGATCCGCTCTGCAGCAGGAGGTACTTTCAAAACGTAGCAAATAATAATATTATTAATAATAATAATAAACACTTATTTAAAGATGTATACATTTTTTTTGTCCTTGTCCCTTACCAGTGTCTTACATCACCAGGGATATCTATTTTCCATATCCCCTTAATTATCGATTACCTTACAATGTTTGAATGAATATCACATTTTACCCATGAAAAATCTAATTTCAAATTTAACTCTTTTTCAAGAAAATTTTATAATAAATTTATAGTAGTTCCTACTGAAACTACTTGTTATTCTGCAGGATAAATTAACTTTTCTTGAGATTGATCTCTCTCTAAAAATCAAAACCGACCTGATGTCCCCAAATAAATTTTCCAATGCGTCCTGATTTAAAATTCTGCCCTTTTGTGATTCAATTTTTTTTTTCTTCGTTTAAATGACTCTTCAATCTTCTAATGGCCACTAGAGAGGCTATTAGAGGTAGGTGTATGTAAGAAATAGCCAATATCTAATCATTTCAAAAGTCCTTTGCCAATACTACATGTGAAGAGATTTTTTGTTCAGCATACATTTTACTTCTTTTCTAGTAGGTGGGAACTTTGTGCTGCCATTATAGCTGTCGAAACAGTCATCTACTAGATGAACAAAAGTAGCAAATTATACAGGAGTTGTTGATTTTCTTAATAAATTGGAAATTATTTACCTCTAGAAAGTAATGTGTACAAAAACGATGACATTCTTGTACCTAAAACCTAAGCAACTAGGTTGACCTCCTTGGCATATTTCATTTTAGGGTCCATATGATGTCCCTTTATTTTATGCATGCTCCTAAAAATTGAGGGACACCTAGATCCTATGTCATAGTTCTTCCTAAATTTTGCTTGCAACGCAGCATTTTGGTGCGTAGGAACTTTAATTTCAATATTGTTTTCTAAACAGAGATGCTGTACCTTTAAATGTGGTGGGAAATATATTAAAAGTTTTCTGCCCTCGAATCATTATGTAGGAATCCACTACTGAGGATCCCAAATGCTTGATTGCTCACCTATTGGTATCACAATCATTATTTAAACAAACAATGGTGAGTTTTGCTATGGTCTGACTTCAATAATATTGTTTGCGATGTTGGTTTCAGAAACTGCTTCATGCGAAAATAAACACTAACTAAACTAATTCAACAACAAACTCAGACTCAAAGAAATAAACGGAGGCACAATTAATTTTAATAAAATGCACACGTTCATAACCACATTCATAACACTGTCAGTTGTCAGTTCTAGTTTATACGTCACGTCGACAACGTCAAATAACCAGCAACATAAGAGACCTCTAGCGCTGGTTGGAGATTTATGGAAGAGAGATAAATATATGTTCAGATCAATGTAAAAGAGAAAGAAAGTCATATATGTAATTTAAATGGATTACCGAATAAATTTCCCTATTAAGTTACACGTCTCTGTTGTCTCTGGTAAAATACTTTTAAATTTCAATATAGAGCAAAATATTAAAAAAAAAAAAATTAAAAGGAATTAAAAATTATAATCAAGTTTAAATCATTTCACTTATTTTTAAGTGATTTTAATTTACTTTCTTCAATACATAAACCAAAACCAATATTATATTTTTTTAATTTTTAATATTTCATGCTTGATTATGGATTTCCAAGTTGAACTTTTTATCAAGAATATTTTTTGTTTGAGAAATATAAGATTAAATAAGATACACTTTTTTCTAGTTGTATACAAGTTTTTAGGACACATTGTATGTTATAGTTGATATATTCTTTTTCATTAATCAGAAATCTACTAGTTGTTACTTTAAAAAACAAATAAAGCTTATTTTATTAATAAAACAGTCTACAGACTTCTTCATTGGCTTGATAGAGATATTTAACATACCATACCAGATTTGTGATAAAACAAAATTTGCTGTTTGTATTATGTAAAAGTATGTATCTATCATCGAGTATTTGCGTTATAATGATTAATGACAATTATTTCTTTCTTTTTTGTATATTTAAACTTAAGTATTTTCAGTGACATGCTCAATACCCTTAGTAAATAAATGGATTGATTCTAGTCTACCATAGAGCATTATGCATTTATACATTTTTTGTTTAATATGAACCTTTTTTTTAGAATTTGGAAACGTCAAGTGTGAGTAGGCAATATGCGACTTTGCTATTGAATACAGCACTAGATAAATCAAAATGGAGACTTGCTAAGGATTTAGTCCGATTTTTGAGAGCCATAGGTAATTTTTTATACATATTTTTGTAATTTTTTGTCTTATCAACCTGGATTGCAATTCATATTATTATTATTATTCATATTATCGGATTTTGTTTGGTCTTTGTACGTTTCCTAGCGCCACTGTAGAAACACCAGTCTCATAAGAAACAGAAACAAAATAAATCGATCATTATTATACTCAAAAAGCCTTAACGTAATAACATTTTGCAATTATATTCATGGGCGCCGTCACACGAGGGCGAGGGGCTCGTTTTGCCCCCCTGGATGTGTGATTTTGTATATTTTCGCTATGCATTCCACTGTAGCTTGCGGCGTTTTGAACATGCCTGTTAGACTTCCCCCACTGGAAATTTTGTGATCGGTGCCCATGATTATATTCCACAACTCGTATTTATATAGTATTTGTTTTAGATCCAAATGATGTTGAATCTGAATCTCCACGGACGTCTTTTATTTTACCTCCAAAATTGGGAATAGGTCAGACTACAGCATCAGTTAGTCCAAATGCTGAAGACTTGTCACTTATTTTGGGCAATGTCCAGGGTCCAAGAGTTAGAAGTTATAGTACTACAATTTCGCCGAAACTTGTAGAAAGATCGAATAGTACTTCGGGAAATACTACTTCGGCAGTGGAGACTGATAGGAAAAAATCTGTGCCAAACTCTGTTGGGAACACGAAATCTGATAAGTAATAATATAGAGAATTTTAAGAATTATTAAGTAGATTTTAATTTTAATATTTACTGAAAGAATATGAAGGCCTCATATTTTATTTTAATTTTAAACTTGAATGAATTTAAAGAAATGGAAATTTTGATTTTTTGTACGATATTTTGAATCTCCCCTTAGATATCAAATGTTTCATGGCACAATTTTAATGAGCACAAAACTGCGCAACTTTTGTCTAATTTAACCAACATTCTATCTGTTACTGTTTAAGAAATAGCAATACTGTCTCTTATGAAATAGTAGGGACCTTGTAATAACATTTAATTATTCACTAATTTATATGGACAATATTTATGTGTACTAAATGATCTCTCAACTTATACTCCTCACTCCTATAGCAAAACAGTCCCTTTATACACATAAGTGGTATTTCTCGAATGTTTACGCCAGAACTTGCTACGAAAATTCTAGACGTCCTTCCACTAGAATCAGAACATACGTTGGCGGATCTACATTCATTAGATTGGTGCCTCTATAGTCGTATTTATAGGAGGGGTTTCAGATTTTTACTCACTTCATCAAATATTCTTGATAACGGGAAAATGCAGGCAGTAAAAGGCCCAAATAAGGTGGAGTTGGACTTAAGGGGTTGGATCATGACCTGACTGATCTAAAATGGCTTGCATGACAATACCTTCTAGCAATAAATATTTTGAGATTATCAAAAACTGGGAACTTGTCGTGCAGTCAGTGATCTGTTTTTGTTTTCTTCAATATCTACACCAGTCTGGCCAGCCAGTGTGACATAATTTGCTCTATCTACTTTCTTTCTAAGTTCAAAAAAGGAAATAACTTAAAATAGGTCAAAATTGAGATATTTCTATAAAATTATTAAAAATATCGAATAATATCCAGTTCAAAAGAAAAATAACGTAGAACTCACAAAATTAAACTAAACGTTTCGTCTGCTGTACATAGTACTTAAGTTTCCTTTTTCGTGAACTCTCTGAATCTAATTTATCATTTTATTATTTTATAGGTACTCTGAGTAATTTTTAAACTGTAAATATATAATTTTCAGGGTCCAAAAGAGTCATACTTCGGAAGAATTCTTTATTGATGTAATATTACAAAAACATGCGAGACGTCTACTATCTGCTCGTAGATTGACCGATTTGGGTTATTTTGCAGCGTACCTTGATTTTCATCTAGTTACTTGGTTAATAAAAGAAAGAGACCGTGCTGCCAGGATAGATGATTTTGTAAAAACTTTAAAACAAGTGCACGAGGACTTTGATTGGCCTTATCCTACCTCAAATTTTCCATTTGTAAAAAAACATTCAGGTGAGCTTATAAGAAAAACGTAAACAATTAAGTTGGATTGAGGTTTTAAAAGTCATCTGCGGACACTTTATGTTCGATATAATATTTTTAGTTTGGATTGTAGTCTGGGAAATTTTATTAATAAAAAAAAATCCACTGATAGTTTGCCTGTCAGAAACGCATTTAACTTAAGGTATATATATGAAAACAAATATTAACAGTTATATAATATGTAGATCTGCTAGCAACAGTCGACATACTGGGGGAGTTATCGTCTATGTGAATCAGATATTGCAAATTTTAGATATTAAGAAAAACAATTTTAGATTGGGACTTATTGGTTAATTTCAGTAAAACTCTTACATAATAACAAAAAGTTTATAATAGTATGCCTTTATAGATCTCCTAGTACTGGAATGAATTTGTTTCTAGACTTTTTTGAAGAATGATGTGAGCTGAATTTAACTGATGAAATTAGAAGTTATTTTGGTTGGGGATTTCAACTTATTCAAAAAGATTAAAAAATATTGTTACAGGATACAGGTTTTAAGAATGTGGTAAAAGAATTTTACACATGCAAATATTCATGGAGGATCAATTAATTGATTTAATTATTACAAACTCATACATTACAACTGAAGTAATAGACACACCCAAAAATCAGTAGTCACAGAAATATTATTGCAAAACTAAACAAACAAAAAAAAAACAGAGAAAAGGGGAAACAATAGTTATTGAAATTAGAGGTAGGTTTATTGATTATACAATAATTAAATAATAATCTAAAAGATATTACATGAAATTATTGGTTACATGATATTAATGAAAAATAATTTTTTTAATAAAATTTTGAAAGTTGTCAATGAAGTGACAACCAAAAAAACAAGTTAAATTTTAACCATATTATCAGAACTGGTGGAATGATCAGGTTAGAGCTGCTACTAGTGTGACAGATAAAAGTTATAAAACATTTATTACTAACAAATCGGAGAAAAACTGACAAATATAAAATGCAGAGATTAGGGACATAAAGATTGGAAACGCAACGATCGCAGCAGCGATGGCGTCATCTAGCGTCTCAGATGTTAACTACAGGTCTACTTCGTTTGCAGAGGAGACCAGTGTTGCCAAATAGTTTTTTTTTGAGAGATCATACAAGTAGAGTAGAAAAATGGTATTTCGACAATAAAAAAATTGTACAGTGGATACATGGCATAGCATAATATAACTTAAAATGGAATAAAAAAAAAAACTTTGGCATGATAATTTATTTATCTATTTATAAAAATGTATACAACGAAAAAAAACTAAAGAAAATACATGAAACTTTAAATTAACACATTTAAAGTAATCAAATGACTGTCACTTGAAAGTGATTAAAATTTTGCATGCAAGCTTTTCTTATGCCGCGATAGTCGGTGTACAAAATCACCATGGTCAAAATCACGATAAGTTCAGAACGAAAATGACTGCCTTCAGAAATTACGAACGGCCCTATGAATCTTTGCAAGTAGTTTTATGTTCTGAAGTTGTTGCAGGTATTTAAATAATCCTACTAAAAAAAGTGAAGATCGTATTTTTACGTACGATCTCACTGATGCAATCGTATATTGTACAGAGTTAAAAAATCGTATAAATACGATTTAAATCGTACAGTTGGCAACACTGAGATAGGCAGTAGACGTTGACAGCAGTGGACAGTTTGTAAATATAAATGTCAGTTAGTTTTATGTATATCGAAGAATCCTGAATTTAAATTTTAAATTTTGAGTTCATGATTGTGTTATCCTCTAGATGAACTAAGCGAAAGTTGTGGCTGTTTTTGTGTGAAATTTGAGGACAATAATTATAATGGTTGTAATATTATAATAAGTCGGAGAACGTATTGCGTTAGTAACACATGCCACATGAACAAATTTAACAATCCCAATGTGGCGTCCTTTAATTAACCAAAGTAGGTAAGATCTATTCATGTAAGTAACACAAATAGTAATCAACTTTTGTCACAAAGTAGGTATTTATGTATTATTTATTGTTTTAGAACAAGAAAATGGCTTCAAAACCTTAGAAAGAAGATTTGATATAGGAAGAAAAATATCTGAATTCCCATTATTGAATTTGCACTAACATTTTTAAATAAGATACCATTGGCCATTCGTTTAGAAAAGAAAATCAAAAATGCAATGTTACAAATAACAATCAAAAATTAAAAAATATTTGTCATGAATATAGATTTACAATAATTAATCGATAATAGATTCTTTTTAATAAATAATTTAGCGTAATTACATTGTTTAAGTTTATTTACAAGAACATGAGAGTGCAGTGGATATTTATACAACCTTTATTATCAGGTTTTTAAATTTCCCGCTACGTTGTTTGATATCGATGAAAGCGCCACATAGTGGGTCAGATGTTAACTGCGATAAAGCTGGTCGTTGTTAAGCATTGGCTTCTTATGGGCGTTTCCTATCTTTATCTTCCTTATCTCTGATAAAATGTAATAGGAATAAAGAAGTGAATGTAATTAAACATGAAAAAAGCAAATACTTGGAAACTAAAATAGATATAAACAAGGGTAACTCTACTGAGATGTGGAAAACTTTGAAATCTCATTCCAACAGCTAATATCGCAAGCAGTTTTACTAATACTAATATTGAATTCGATAATATTTGTGACAATCATAAGGATTTTACTTTTCCAAATACTTTAAATTATTTCTATGTAAAGAGTATTGAACAAATATCTGAGCAGTTATCTTCCATTAATAATTATCCGATTATTCCTCATCTAAGTAAAATTGAAACTTTTGTAAATTTTAAACTAATTAAATAGAATGAATTAAAAGAAATATTATTTTCAATGTCAAATAAAAATAGTCCAGACCAAATATCCACAATTTTATTAAAAGAATGTTTTGAGAGTTTATCCCAACATCTATTACATATTCTAAATGTTTCTATTGAAACAAGCTTAGTTCCGGACGATATTAAGATTGCTACAATAATTCCGATACCGAAAATTTCGAATCCAAGTAAGGCTACCCATTTAAGACCGATAAATTTGATCAGTGCTGTTGGAAAACAAATAGAAAATGTAATATATCTTCAAGTTATTGATTATTTAGAGGGAAACAGTTTGATAAGTAATGTGCAATCAGGATTCCATAGTAAACACAACTGTGAAACTCCTTTACAGTTGGTGACATGACTGGAAGTTGAAAATAATTTGGTTACACTAGCGGTGTTTTTAGATTTACAGAGGGCATTTGAGACTATTAATAGGGGTAGATTATCAATGAAATTAAGAGCTATTGGTTTGGGGGGTTGTGCACTGGACTGGTTGGTCCATTATACGGAAAATAGGAAACAGAAGGTTAAGGTAAGTAATTGTGTTTCAGATACTATAGAGAATAATATGGGGGTGTGCCATAGGGTAGTGTTCTAGGTCCATTACTGTTTTTAATTTACATTAATGACACTGCTGGTGTAGTCAAAATATGCTCAATACACAGATGATACACTGATATATTTTACCCATGAAAACACTGAAACTTGTTTTAAAGAAATTAATAGTTCTATAAGTAAAATATATGATTATTGTAACGGAAATTCGTTGAAAATAAATTACGAAAAGGCAAAGTGGATGTTAATTGGGGGTACTGGAAATTTAAAAAAATTAAATGTAGCATCGCAGTGTGTTTCTGTTGATGGAATAAAGTTTCAGATAGTTGAAAAATGTAAATATCTAGGGGTTATGGTCGATACAAATTTACAATTTAAGGAACATGCTAATAACGTCATCAAGAGCATATCATTTAGAATAAACTATTTGAGGCGCTGTTCTCCACATCTCAGCAAATGGGCTAAAATAATAATTTATAATACTCTAATATTACCTCATTTATTGTGCCATTACATTGTATTTGCTCAGCCAGAATGAGTTGCAACGATTGCAAAAGTTGCAGAATAGAGGAATCAGGATAATACTGAGCTGTTCGAGATTGGAACCAATCAATTCCATGTTGAATGTGCTTCAGTGGTTGCCTGTTAAAAAATATTGGCTATTCTATTCCCTGTTATTTATATTTAAGATTAAATCAGGAATGTCCCCCAGTATATTTACAAAATATTTTAAGTTTTAATCAGGATATTCATGAACACAATACACGAAATAAGAAATTTTTTTAGAGTTTATTAGGCCACGAAAAAATGTACACAAAATTCAGTGTTTTTTAAAGGTGTACAGGCTTTTAATAATTTACCTGAAGATATTAAATGTTCTTCAAACGCAGCAATATTTAAAAGAAAACTGCGTGAGTACTTGCTGACCAATTGACGTTTTTATTTTCTTTCTTGTTTTATTATGTTTTGTATAGTTGACATGTAAGTGTACTGTATCTTATGTATTTTATTGTATTTTGAATGCATGTTGATTCTATACTTATATATTTATTATATTTTAAATGTGAAGATGTATTGACATGTAAAAAATAGTTTTTTTTTTTTTGACTAATTAAACGATTTTATGTATCGAAGATTGGTCATGGGTGGTTTAAATAGCTACGCGGTATGCTGGCGATTCATGTGACGACCTGCTGCGGTGGATTTTCGGCGTACGTCGGCTGTATTCGAATGTTTTTTCCATCATCACTTGTTCCCATATTATGTGCCAATGCACATTGCAATTTTAGACTCAAATAGTGACTGGTTTAGAGGACCCATTTTCGCATACAAGCCTCGAAGAGGGTTGATAAGTACATCGATTTTGAGTGGAATTAAATTAAATTTACGAATGGCTCCTGGGGATAACATGGAAAATTCGATTTTCCTTATTCCATATTTTCATGCAAGCTGTGTTCGCTATATGATTAACTAATAGAACTAGGCTTCGGAAAACCAAAGACTTTAATGTTGCAAGTGGCTAAAGGGTTGAAATAAGGACGTAATCTTAACTGATTTTTCCACATCCTATCAAATGTATGAAAACGTACATCGTCACTATAGTCCGAAAAACATATTGGCTTAAATGACTCAAATGGATAAGTGGGTCGGAAGCTATTTCTTTTAAGGAAAATCGAATTTTCCATGTGTTATCCCCAAGAGCCACTCATAAAATTTCTTTCACTCTACTCGACATCAATGTACTTTTCAACTCTCTTCTCTCTGCGAAAATGGGGCACCCAAATTTGTCTATGATGGCCCATTACTAATCTTCAATATTCCAGACTGTATCAGTATTTCATTGATATACATTGATATTTCGTAAGCTGATTATTTTTTTATATGGTATTGATTTCCATAAAACAAATCAAAATTTCCAAGTTTTGTACGGATTTGTAAACAAATAGCAATTGAGTATAAGAGTACTAGCTCCTGCTCTATGGACTACTAAACTACTAGAACACTTTATAAAACCTACATAGATCACGAGAGGCTAATGACCTAAGTTGTTGAAGTCAAAGACACAAAAAGAAAACTAAAAGATTTAAATAGCCCCTAAAAACTAAAATTATTTAATCCTTTTTTTTAAGGCTACCAACAATTTTCATATTACAGGCAATCGGGTAACTCATGCAATAAGTATGAATGAACTAAGTTGAGTAAGTCATCCATTTTTCACAAAAAATGTGGTATTTCCTAACTGCAGGAATTTTTTATGGAAATTTTCAAAAAAACTTTTTGCTCTTCACTTGTTTTTTGATCCACCTGCTGCGCTTATTTCAGATCGACATCTCCCTGAGAATTTTATTATAAACCCGGTCACAAAGACACAAAGGTATTGATTTCGGATATTATATCGGGATTTCAATGATGTTTTTGCGATTTCGTTGGATATTTCTGGAGTTTCTTGAAGATTTGGGAATTTCGGTGACGATTTTGAAATTTCGGTAGCAATTTCTGGATTTCCGTAATGATTTTGGATATTTCAATGGATTTGTCAGCGATTTCGAGTAAAAACGTACTAGTATTTCGGGAGTGACACGGCTCGGTTGGAACTATATTAAATTAATTTATTTTGATCTATTCATTTCAATCCGATATTTTGTTCAACATATAGCCCCTACACGTCTCCCATCTTATCCTTGTCATACATCCCTCAAATGATTGAAAAAACACTATAGTCTACATGAATGAAAGATTACTAGAGGTTTTATGCTATATGTCTGCTTACTAAATGTTTGTGGAATTGTAATTGTATCTATACGATAATGAAAGTACAAAATTTTTATAAATGCCACTTCATTTATAGTATCAAATTTTTTCAGTTTATTATTATAAATAAGTCTAGCACTAAACAAATAAAATCACAGAGACTCATCAATAATACTAGTTGACACGTAAAGTTTAACTGTATTAGAATCACCCGAGGACAATATAATACTTAAATACTTAGCGGACGCCTATCAAACATCAAAAGTAATTATATGTTTCAAACGAATTAAATGTTATTTTCTGGAAAACTTCCTAACATAACCATATAATCGTTGTATTGAATTCTATTTTCATTTGTATGTTTTAACCACTTTGCTCATGATACTGATTGGAACATGTGCCGTTTAGTAAAATACAATTTTTTGATTTATTAATAGCTAATTTAGTTGCAATTAAAAGTAGCGTTAGGATGATTGTACAGCTGGTAAAACGGATGAAAATATAGAAAAGATAATTGAATATAATAGAAACATATTTTTAACCCTTTCCATCATTTTTGGTTATGTAATCATTTAAAATTAGGATGAAAATGACAATTTACTTGTAATTAATTTATATTATTACTTCAGGAAGTTCCTTTTACAGTCAACAAATTGCAATCGGCTATAATATATTATTTAAGGTTGTAAATTGAATTTTTGTTACAGATCCTCAATCACCTGTAGAAAATCCTATGAATAATTTGGAAGATCAATTAAAAACATTACTTGTCAATTATCCCACATCATTTAGCCATATTGGGGACAGTGGCTACATGTCACTCAAAGATTTGCCTTATACTGGACTTGTGACACCTCTTAATGCTTTTGATCAGACAAGTCAAATAGCTGGAACAGAATTGGATGAACAAAGTTTGTGCGAAACTCATACAGATAGAAAAAAAAGTGATACTGAGCACCAAACTAAGAACATATCGATTACTGGTAACTTTGAAAATAATTATAATTTAGGTTTAAAATCAACTGTATTGAATTCCAATAGAGATGAATTTATGAGTAATGTCAGTTCTGTATGGGGCGAAGACAGAGATTTAGCTTCAATTGGTACCGACAATTGGGAGGTTCCGTCCACTAAAATTTTAGAACAATTTTCTAATTTAGATAAAGGATCACAAAGGTCTGAAATACAATTAAGGTAAGTGTTATTAAGTTCCTTTTCATTATAATTATTTGTTGCATTAAAACTAAAAACTAACACAAGAATCACATTAATGATAAACAGCAGTATGATTAATCAAGGTAGCCGATAGTTTTACATATATATAGGGTGTTCAAATAAGAAAGGGCCCCTACCATATCTTAGGAACTGTTTATCTGAAAGTGGTTATTAGGAATCGCTGGAAATTATTTTCAAGTTCTTAACTTCGCCGATAAGGGCGTAATTCTGATGGCCAAAAAAATTCCAAATTAAATTATGTCCAAAATATGATAATAGTAATCTGTATGAAATTTTACTCAATTTTAATTCATTTATGTTAATTTTGAGTAGCTGGAAAAATGGTGTTTGAAAAAGTGTTGTTTTAGCGAGTTCTATATGCTCTTAAAAAATAATTCAACTTAGAAACCATCATCTTTCTGATTAATTTGATTAATTGCCTCAACTTTTAGAACCAGTCCCGTAGAATGAATCTAACGATTTCTTTTTGGCTTAGACGCCAGTGAGTTCGTATGCTGCTGGTATCTCTTCCAACCCCTCAAACCTTTTACCTAGGGCTATTCTCCCAATTCCTCAGGCTCTAAAACCCTCACTTGGTGATTGATCTAACTCGAATCATGCCTTTTGTCATTTCAAAAAGTCATCCTTGGCTAAAAAAATAACCTCAACTTAATACCTCGCTTAGCCAAGTTAAAATGAAATTTGTAGGAAATCTTTACGGGAATAATTTATAATAAATTTAAAATAATTCTATTTACGGGTGCTTGTAAAGATAAGTGTAGGGTGTTCTGTCACCTCAAATAATGGATCCCAGAAGTCTTTGTTACCTTCATCATGCAGTATTCATACTGGAGAACTTTATGAGATACTCCAGACTTCAGTCTTTTAAATCGTTAATTCCAGAGGATAATTACGTCGCTGTATGTACTTTTTCGCTTCGGTAGGAGCTTACAGTTGCCTTATTTGGATACTCTCTCATGTCAGGATTGCAGGCAGTGATGAAGCTGATCGTACCGCGAAAGAAGCTATTCAGATGAATCTACCATTAGAAAATATTCAAACAGTTAAATATTTAAAAACCATCTTTCGCCAAAAGGTCTATAATCAACGGGAAAATTATTTGCACAATATCACTATTTCAAAACTTCGGGAAATCCAGCCAACTCTGCACCATTTCGAAATGCCCTTTGTTCTAAAAAGAAAAAATACGGTCATTAGAAGACTCAGAATTGGTCACACGAGATGGGCTCGTACAACCTCTTTGCTACCTCTGTAACAGGGCGCTTTAACAATTAAAGGAACATTGCACTTTAAAACTCATCAAGCTAAGAATGGTTTAAGTCAGGGTGCCAGTGTCGTTTTGGCGGCCCACCGGCCGTTGACCAGTTTGGCCCGCCTATGTCAAACTCGATCAGCAGGATGGGTTATACATTATAAGCTGACGACCTTTTTTTTTTGTTAGAAGCTCGACCAGGAGTCGGTTTATACATGAAAGGTGTAGAGTGTAGACTTTTTTTTTCACTTGCCCTTGAAAATTTGAGTTGTGCAGGCCTGGTTTAAGTAATAGTATTAGTATTCTTAGTTATCCTAGTGACTTTGGAACATTTAAATTATTTAAAAGGAGTGAATGTATTCAACCGAATTTAAATTAGTATAGGTTAGATTTTTTTACTCTATAGTTATCTGAATTAGAATTTTCTTACTGTAAATTTTTGTAGTGCTCTTAAAACACCTAAAAAGTTATTTTTGTCATGTGTTAAGTTATTTTTAAATGTTCTTTTCATGTATTTTATGCTCTAATTTCCAGATACCTTCTACAATTATTTATGGAAGCCAATTGTTTAGAATGGTCATTGGTGTTTTCAATTATATTAAGAGATGCAATGGCTGTGTTACGCCTTATAAATGCTGCTAAATCGCATGATCAACCAGCTGAAACTGTTTCTAGATTGAGACAAGGTCTTCTTATTATTAATTACTGGACTAATACTGAATGGTAACAATTTTTGTATTATAATTATTTTTTTTTATTATTATTATAAATAAAAGGCACTAATTACAAGCTATGAGCTTTCTAAGGGGCATGAAGTTTGAAGCACGTTGAAAATTATAAATTTACGAGGGGATGTATACATACATATACATTTGCCCCCATAATTTTCTCTTCTATCACCAAAATCATATGTACCATAAATATGTAACTTGGTACCCATTAGTTATTTAAATTATGCATGTGTTCTTAATTTTCCACATGTATTAAAGTCTATATTTACCAAAAAATAATTTTCAGCAAACAGCTTATTGTTGGTTGCATCTTTTATAATTATTTCCATTTTAATTAAAAAAAGAGAGCATTAAAAAAGTAAAACGAATTTTGAATATCCCATTAAAAAAAAAAAAGAAATTCAACACCACCCCTTACTAATTTAACTCCTTCCGTACCATGGCTCCAACTGTTGATTACCATAATGAAGAATAATAAAGTACTCCAACGGTATTTTCTCTAATTGCAAGAAATATAATAACTGATCTAGTGCTTCTAGTACTTCTGTTGTGAACTGCGACAATTTTTCTTACAGTTGCCAACTTTAAAGCTGCTCTTGTATATGGATTTCCAACTGATGCAGACCTTTCTATTAGTTTAATTTGTGTAATAAAAGAAATCTTATTCTCTTTTATATAAAACTTTTTGAGAAACAGTGTATATACAGGGTGTTTTTTAATTGAATGCCGATACTTAAGGGTGTGAAGGGCAATTTTAAGAAAAAAAAAATACCTTGAAGTAAAACTTCTTGGGTCGGTTCAATATTTGACGAGTAGGCAGTGGTCCCATATTTGGCGAAAATGGAGAGTGAAATTTCAAGGACATGGAAGATGTAAAGTGAAACCCATGTAACCATGGTAACGTCACGAAATTAAAAGGACATTGGCTTTCAGAGATTATATATAGGGACCGTGCGTGAAATATAGAGACAGCACTACTGCCGAAGTTAGCCCTCTCTAGTGTTTAATTTTAGAATTAAATGGGGTAAACATTGCAAGTAAATAATAAAGGATATTTTTTTAAATATTAAATATAGTTGAATATAGATACCAGCACGTAACAAACAATCGTGTACATGATCAAAATAATATAAAATGTTAAAAATTATCAACATCTGGACATGTATACAGGGTGTTTCATAATATATGCGCAGGACTTCAGGACGTGATAGCTCGTCCAAAAATATGAAAAAACGTTTTTATTAACTTACCCTGCACCATTTTCGAGATACAGGATGTTGAAATTGAAAAAAAAAAAAAAAAAATTCTACGCCACTCGAAAAAGTACGGTTTTGAGACGCCCATTTGAACCGCCAATGTTTTCTACACAAAAAAGGTACTCTTGGTCATACGCTCTAAAGTCGACCGTTTTCGAGAAAAATCAAATTTTAATGTTGAAATACATGGTTCAACATTCAACATATTAAATTAATAAATAAGATTGAGAATAATAATAATTTTTTATAGCTTTATGTTAGTCAAAATGTCATTCATCCACCTTAGACGTTTATGAGACACCCAATGATATAAATAATTATATAGATTGCTCACTCATCTATAAAAAAGATTAGGAAAAGCGGGTTGCAGTGTGCACTGTTTTATTGCCTTTCCCAGTGTCCACTAAATAGAACCGTTCTAGTCCAAATGTGTTTTAAAATAAAATTTCAGCATTTTAATCTTAAGAAAAAGAAAATAATTACTTCAAGACACGTTATTATGTATTTTGAAAGTTGAGTTTCCATGTAGTTAAATAATATTGAGAGATCTAAACAATTTTTATAAGGATGGATGTAAAAAATTTAAGACCACTCTCATTTCAGAAATAACACTATTTAAAATACATAATTGCAATATGTAATACAACTTTGAAAAGATAATGTAAACAACTTTGATATGAGAAATAAACAACTTTGGTAAGAGTTGTAATTGGACACTTATCTATTATTCTGAGTAATGTTTAATGGTAATGTTACTAACAAATTTTACAAAAATCACTGAATTTTTAATATTTTAAAGTTTGTTGCAATCTCTTTTGACAGTAATTGAAATGTATTAATTATGATTTGTTTATTTTACTGATAAATGAGAAATAGTTAATAAATTATAAAGAGGGCCATGATATTTTTGTCAAATAGGCCTTTTTATCATGGGATGAGCGCAAGCCCAGCCGCCATGTTAAAATAGCGCCAATTCAAAAGTTTCATACTGTTTTGATCAACAATAGCTAGAAAATCAATATTATCTCTACATACAAATCAATCATTAGAAAAAATCGTTGATGGTGATTTACATTTTTATAACTCTGTGGAAGCACATAGTTGTGAGCAATTAAAAATGTTCTTGAAGTGACTTGGACGTTCGGAACAAAGAAAAAAAGTGTGGTGATTGAGAGGTTAGGTTTCAAAACATTTTAACTTTAAAAAATTAATGTAAACAAATAATAATCATAACTCTATTCTAATTAATTATGCCAACTAGTATTAGTACTTGCAAAAACACTTTAACATGGAAGTTAATCACGAGTATAATTAATAAGATAAATTATTTAAAATTTTAAGGTTCAACAAGACATTTTTAATAATATTACTGTGTATACCGAAGTAGTATTTAATATTAAAAAATATTGTGTAATACCAGACAAGGATTTTTTTCTGTTGAACCACTTTCTCCATGAAAATGTAGTGAACAAATATCAGTATCTTTAGTAATATCATCCATGAATCGATCGAAAACCATTGTCTTCGACCACATTTTTTCACTCATAAAGCGCATTTTGAACATGTTTTAATATGTATTTTGCCTAATGATTTGATTTTTTTTTTACGATATTGCAGGCAAGTCTTTTCATAAAATAATAATTTATACCGTGTGTCACTTTAACATACTCATAACAATACCGTTTAGGTTTTCCTTTCCGTAAAGATAACATGATTAATTGATTGCAAAAATTGATTTTTCAATTAAGACACTTATTACTTTACTTTTTTTATCCCAACGAATACACTTAAAATTAATATTTATCGATTATAATTTTTTTTCACATGGACATTTTAACATGCTTGTTTACAAAAAACAGTACGAAAAAGATGGCTGATACTGACGCATGCGCATAAAAAAAAATGTGATGAAAAGGACATTCTAATTTCACAGTGACATTCTACATTAGTTTTAATTAACAGAATAAACCATTAATTATCTGTAAAATTATATTTATATAAAATGTTCATTTAAATATGTAAAAATCTTGATGACAAAAAACACTAAAGATTCTAATTTTTAAACCTATTCTGTAAATGATTTAACAACTAAGTGCTCAAAATTGATACAAGATAGATAAATAGAAAACTTTGCCGAGTGAAATACGCTTTTCGTCGTCTGTTTTACATATGGTTAAGTAATCTATGTAATTATGTATATCATTGGGTGGGAGACACTAAGTGTGTTCTGTGAAAAGTTAAAAAATTTCTTTACTATTGAATCAAATTCAGGTTTCCAAAGTGATGTGTTTGTACATCCACGGATGCTACAAGTTTTTTCGATAATATTACAAAAATAATTCGACTTTAATTAATAATTACTAAACAATAAATACCGTATAAAACATTAATAAATCCCCCCATAAAGTTTACATTTTTGTCACCAGTTGGCATTAGTCATCATTCACGGTCCCTATACGATTTTTCTGTTTGTAAAATACCAGGCAGAGCGGAGGGGAGAGCGGAGAGGAGTGAAGAGCGGAGCAGAGTGCATTGGTGTGGAACGCGGAGCAGACTGAATTGAAATGGGGAGCGAAGCCGAGTGATTTGGAGTGCGGAACGGAGTTGAGTGAATTGGAGTGGATGCGGAGCGGAAGGGAGCAAACGGAGTAAAGTGGGATATCACTCCAGATATTTTTATGAAATTTTGAACACACCTTTTAATCATTAAGGAGTATTTTTTGACGTAAAAGGTTTTTTAAATTTTTACCAGTGACGTCCGTACGGGGTTTGAACTGAATATTTTTGAAGAAAAAAATGGTACGCCACTGCTTTTCGAAAAACCAAAATTATTTTTGAAGTCCTCTTTTATTTTGGAGCAAATTTGTACAACGCACCGTTTTCGCGTAAAAAAATAAAAACAATAACACATTTTTTTCTTAAGTTCATTGAAACTGCTTTTGATATTTTGTTGAAATTTGGTAGGCACCCACCATGCGTGGAAACACTTCTTTTGGGGCAAAAATTATTTTTGTACTTCCACCAGTGACGTCCACGTAGGCATGATATTGAATGTTTGGATAGAAAAAAAAAAAATGATACGCCTTGACGTTTTTAAATTCAATTTTAAAAATCGCGATTCATTTAATAAAACGATAAATGCAAACTCTTAAATCTAAAGCGAAATGACAAGAAAATTCAAACAAAATAAAGAACCCAAATTATTTACAGTAATTGTTAGAAGTATGCAAGCATCTACTCTTCTTCGCATAGGCTGACGCACATTTTAAAAGATTCCTGGGGTGTTTCTTATGGTTTCGCAGCATACTATTATACGATTTCGTAACTTTTCTTCGATTTGAATCGACACTGCGTACACTAAGCTTTTCAGATGCTCCTAAAAGAAGTAGTCTAATGTATTAAGGTCGGGAGATTTAGGTGGCCATGACTGCGTTCCTCCGCGATCTATCCACCGATTGCGATAGATGTGATTTAAAAATTCACCCACTCATAAGATAAAATGTGGAGGCCCACCATCGTGCATTAGCCACATCTGGTTTCTTAATAAAATAAGAAGGTATTCAAGCATTGCGGCAGAAAGTGTAAATATGATTGTCCATCAAGTCTTCTTGGGATAACAAATGGGCCTATCAAATAATCGTCAGTAATGCCAGCTCATAAATGGTTATTTTGGAAATTTATGATTGAGTTTCGAGAAAAATTAGCTTCATCCGTAAAAATAATGTGTACCTGTCAAATAATGGATTTGGAGAAACCATTCACAGAAATTAATGCGCAATGGGAAATTTCTAGGGAGTAATGCCTAGACTCTTTGAATGTGATATGGGTATAGCAAATTTTCGATGAGAATTTTTCAAAGAAGTACATGTGCTAGTTTCGGGAGTTTTCAAATTCATGTAAAATTCCTTCAAACAGTTCTGGTATTTTTACTGTTTTTATTGGATTCCTTTAGCCCTGTGGTATACTTTTAAAGTTCCGGTCTCGTGAAGATGTCTATGAATCCTAGAAAATGTTGTCGGATCGGGTAGGATTTCAAAAATAATTTTAATTTTTAGAAAAAGCAGTGGTGGATCATTTTTTTCCTCAAAAATATTCAGTTCAAACAAACGTCACTGGTAAAAATTTATAAAAAATCTTTTATGTCAAGAAATGTTTCTTAATGATTAAAAGTGTGTACAACATTTCATAAAAATATCTATAGTGATAAGAAAATTATGATAAAAAAGTTTTTTTCTTTCTTAAAAATTAAGATTAATTAACACTCTATATCTCAAAAATTAAGAGGTATATGACATATGTGGATATTTACTTTTCTTCTTTAAATCACGCATGAATTCACACCCTGTATATATTAGACGATTTGAAAACAGTTAATATTAGCTTTTGCAGTTCGAAAATCAGCTGTGATGACTTTTGTTTTCCATTTCTATTTTATTTTTATACCACTTATGTTCGTGGGAAAATGTCGCTTTTGTTTATTTTTATTTTAAATTTGTTATAAATTATGTTTATGTGAATTATTTTTAATATTCAATGTTTAATAACTAATGATTCCTTCTGTTTTAGCTTGGGTTATTCTACATTCATGTTAGCAATTCATAATCAAATATCCGTCCTCACAAGAATTTTGGAATCTAAAATTCAGCTGGAACAAATTCAACAACAGGGAGTAACTGCAGCAAATGTAAAATCCCCTAAACCGAGTCGCTCACGGAAATCAAGCTCTAATCAAGATTCTAGCAATACTCAATTAGTAGTTAAGGAAAAATCTTCTTTAGTTAATACCCTTCAAAAGGATAATTTAAATGAAAATAACTCTGGAAAAGGAAAAACGTCTGAAGAAGAAACTGTAACAGATATACACCTTATACCTAAAAATACAGGATGTCTCGTTTCATAACGTTTTTCTCAGAACACTTTAATTCATATTTTTTATAAAGGTGTACAATAAAAGGTAACAGATTTTTACATCATAGCTACGATTTATATGGGTTTTAATAAAAATTTAATAATTTATAAATAAAAATTAATTTGCATATATATAAGACTAACGTTCTTCTTAAATTGTCATATTCTATGGTGTACTGGTAATACTTTTTATATGTTAAATTGACAATACATATTTCAGAGAAAATTGCGTATTTTATTTTTAACACTCCTTTTAATTCTTCATATTGTGACTAGAGCTAAACGATTATCAAAATAAATAATCGATTATTTAAAATTTTATTAATCGAAAATAACCTATTAATCTAAAATATTCGATTAATCGAAAATAATTGATTAATCGAAATGACCGATTAATCGAAAGAATCGATTATCGATTAAAAAAATAGTACAATAAAAGATTATCGATTTAAAAAAAAAATGTTCTTTTGCCCACCTTTACCTAGAATACCGCGTTCGCAGTAACAATTCAGAACTGATAATGAATCGGACATGCGCTCCAAGTATGAGTACTTCTGAATCAACTTATTATTATTTTATTTTAAAAGCAAGCCAGTGTGATTGAGTGATTCGTTTATAAATTGCTCCACAAAAAAAAATGAATAAAAACTTTACCCACAACACATTTTACTTCCTTTAAGAGGAACATATACATTACAAACTGAAAGACTTGCGGGGCAACGGTGATTTAGTAGGTATAAAAATTACAATTAAAGGGTGGATGATATAGATAGAAGAGTTGTATAAAATTTTGAAAACAAAAATTGACAAATAACTTAGGATAAGTTGAAGTTGTGGAAAAATGTTCTAAAAAGGAAGCAAATTATTACTTACATATGTATGTTATTAAATAAAGATTGTAAACCTTTCACAGTTCAAATGACACTTCAGGATGAACAAAAATTCATATGGAATGTTTTAAATACCAAATTTGAAAACTTCTATAAAAAAGATTTAAATCCAGGTGGAAACCCACCTATAAGTAGCTACTACTGTTAAAAACACATATTAAATTAGGTTAGAAACTGGAAATGTCAACTGTACCAGTCGAATAACGATAAAATGATGCACGAACTGGTTCGCACTCAGAGCGTGCATTATTACTTGATATAATTTCGATTTATAAAAATGCTGCCGAAAATGAGTGCAGAACTAAAACCGCTCTGGCAACGAGAAAGTGTTCCAGTCGAATGCGTTATAAGGTTATTAGCCTCGTGTTTTGTGTAGGCTTTATTACTGTTTCCCAGCACCACTTTAGAAACAGCACTGTTAATTAGAACCCAACAGTGAATGGTCGAGTGGGGAATCCTACTGATGCATCCGAATTTTAAATAATTAAATTAAATAAAAAAATCCCGGCCAACGGTGGGATTCGAACCTGGGACCCTTTTGAATCCGCAGACAGACTACCACTGAGCCACCCACCTCCCATTTTATTATTTTTTATTATTAATTTAGATTCAAGTACTGAAATATTAAAAGAAAAAAAACATGGTGTTCAATGTTCATGATTCGATGGTATGTACATATTATACGAGTTCTATCATTCCGCCATTTGACTGTGATTCGACTGTGAGTTTGTGGTTGATTAATATTAATTATTTGCAGTTTGTACTATTTTTATCTCTGAGAAAGATGGAAGTTTTCCAGTGAATACTACAAAGCTAAAAGGTTAGTGAATTCATAATGTCTAGCAGGGCTAACTTAAACAAACAGATTGGATTTTCATATTGATCTGCCTTTCATTTGGAATAAGCGATTAAATTTTCAGGTTCAGCTGAGAAGGCAAATATGGCCAAATCAAGAAAAAAATTGAAATGCTGTCAATCCAGGCATGGTTGAAAAGGGCAAAGTAGGGGAGAGACGGGATGGATTTGACGTAAAAGTTTTAATAATTTCATTATTCATAGGTTATTTTGCTTCAAAATAATTTTTTTTTAAATTATTCAATATTTTCACTAATTTCCTTAAACATCCTGTTATTTCCCATTTGAGCTTTTGAAAATGTCCATGGAATGTTCTTAAATGGACGTTCTTAAGACATCCTGATTATTAACAATGGACGTTCCAAAGACGTCCACGTCCGTGAAATGGACGTTTTAAGGATGTCCTGAATGTCCAAGCAGGACGTTTTTAGAACGTCCATAAGACGTATTTGTGCTATCTGGGCTCTTGTATAATGATAATATTAATATTTAAAGGTTTTAAATAAGGGCTTGAAGATATCACATTTCGAAATTCCTTTTAATGACCATATACTTTTTTTGGAATAAAAGCATTAGTTCCTGTTTTTCAGTTAAGCTCCATAAATAAATTCATATTTTAATCTGAACGGTGCTTAAGCGCAGTAAAGTTGCAACAACTAAACAATATAATGAACTTTTAAAATGAAATTCAATTTATATTTGGAATTAAATAAGTTAGCTAAAAATTTTGACCGTATGAAGTTATTAAAGTTATAAATAATTACGTTACAAAGATTCATATGTGAATTTTCAATTTCTGTTAATGTAATAGTTACTCATTTGCGTTTTACAATATCAATACATGGCTTGGCTTTGGCATAAAACACTGTGTAGTAAAACTTCTAATCTGAATCAGAATCTTGGTATTATTATTTGTGAACTTAAAAACGTGGTCCACTATTCAAAATATAATAGTAGTATAATAATTTAATTATATATCATCAATTGCAACTGCCAGTAGTAAAATCTAAAATTTAAAAAGCGTATTATAATAATAAGACAATCATATTTTAAATGGATCGCTTACTACCATGTTTTAGAAATAAATAAAGTGTAACTCATAAATTAATACACATATTTCATATAATTTAATATTCCTTGCGTCATGTTAATAAAAATTAAACAAAATTTCCTACCATTTATTTGGTATTCTGACCCGTACTTCCATGTCTCTAATAGCTCTGCTGTCAACTAGTTCTGGCAAAGCATATTGCATATAAAAATTTTAAATTTTATTTTGCATCTTTTCTTCCTAAAAGCTGTCATTATGAGTAATTTTCTCCACTTTTATTCCTCGAAGAGTCCAAACGCACAAAATGCAAAAATCCATTTGTATAATGTGCAGCTATACCTGAATTTGAAAATACCAATTGTGGTTCTTCTTAATAGTCTTGTCCTTTTCCCAAAAAGTTATTTCTCTACTGCATATTCCTTCTTCTACAGTCAGCACTCTAGTTTCATATGGACATTTTAACTCTATCGTAGTTTTATTTTTTGTTTTAAATTCCATCCGGACTACCAGCAACATAATCAAATTCGGAATCAATAAAAAATCCACATTTAAAAACTTTTTCTTGCAAATAAATTTCCAAATCTTATTTTGTTATGGATTTATTATTGTCCATGCCTATTGGGTGGCTTTAGCAAAAAATAAAAGATTTTATGAGATTTTTTAAAGAAGACGTTTTGTTTTTTTTATGTCTACAAATTTTGAAGTAGTGACACGTTTTCGTCTTTCATTGTGCCACAATGCACAATCAGCTTGATCTCGTGTCACATTTGTTTTTTTCTTATCTATAGACATTGGTAAACTTTTTAGAAAATCTTCTTTTGCAACGCGTATCAAAGAGTGCGACATATCAAAGCCACGCCCGAGAGCAAGAAAAATGATTTACTTAGTTCGAAAAAATATTCATTACTTTAACAGATTAAAGAGTTGTTAAAATGCTGGAATGAATTATTCTTAATTATAAAATGTATTCAATAAAAAAAAACTCCCGTGCAATATAAAAGTTAATTTATAATTCACATACATTATAAAATTAATTTAAAATAGTTGAGCGAAGTTACTGTATGTAAAAAATAACAAAGTACAGACATAAAACAAAATAAATTCAAATCACTTGTAAATAGTAGAATAACTTATCGTGCAGTTGACCCGTTAGGTTTGTTATGATTCTGTCTTCATAAAAGTTCAAACAAATTGTTGGTTTGATAGTACCAAACGGCTAAAGTGTTCTTTATCATTAGAAAGTGAAGGTACGTTACAGAAATTTGTTTTTACTTTCCATTGAGCAGGGTTATGTTTTGAATTGACTTGAAAATAATTTATCTACTGCTTTTTTCTAGATTTTAACCTGTTGGGTGCGAACCAACTGCACACATATACTTGTACATATAGAATGTAAAATGCCCGAGTCATGTGCTAAATGTAAATTGAAGAAAAGGGAAGAGAATCTTGTCGGATGTGAGGGTCCATGCGGTAATTGGTACCATCCAGATTGTGTTTTATTAAGTGATGCTGAATTCAAATTACTACACAAGTCCCGTAATCTTTATTTCATTTGTAACACTTGCAAGAATAAAATTGTACCGGTACCGTCACAGTAGCAACCATTGAAGGTTTCCGTATCTGGCTCTGATAATTGTTTACAAATTAGTCTTCAACTATATTACCAAAATGTTAGAGGGTTAAGAACAAAAACTACTCGTCTATTTAACAATGTTTCTGCTGCTACATAGTATGCGGGCTACTTCTTTACAGAAAGTGGTGTAACAGTACCATAAATAATGCTGAGCTATTTGATCTTACAGTGTTTGATGTTTATAGAGTTGATCGAGATTACGAGTTAACACAAACTTCAAGGGGGGGAGGAGTTTTTGCGCCCTTAAAAAAGAATTAAATGCAGTTCTGATTGATACATCTGATGTTTGTAGCTCTATTCCAGTAAAGAAAATTGATTTTATTCTTGTAAAAATTAAACCCCACTATCAGTGTACCTTTATTTTACTCATATTCATACCGACAGCTTGTTCTACTGGTGACTATGTGGCTGTGTTCGAGGCGATATCATTACTAAATATTCTTTATGATAATCATCTTCTAGTACTAGGAGATTTCAATGTGCCAGAGTATATTTCTCAAATAAACAATTCTAGCTGCTCGCCTAGATTAAACGTCGTAAAATCATTTGCGAATTGTTTTAACTTAAATCAATTCAATTTGATAGAGAATACATATCATCGTCTGCTTGACTTAGTTTTTTCCAATTCAGCATGTCACGTATATAAAGCCGATGAAGTAGTCTTAGATGAAGATGATTATCAACCCTGTTTGTGGATTGATGTCCCCATTAAAATTAGAGTTAAGAGCTTACAGTGTACACCAGACCACGTGCAGTTTAATTACAAAAAAGCAGATTTTCCAAAATTATACAACGCC